CACACCCGACAAAGGTCGGGTGGGCTAAATGCCCGAGGGACTTGACGGTCCACCCGAGAGAGAGAGAGAGAGAGAGAGAGAGAGAGAGAGAGAGAGACAGAGAGAGAGAGAGAGGGGGTTCACCCCCTTGTCCTCAACCCTGCCGAAAGAAAGAGGAATTCACGTCCATGTTGTTTTCGACTCAGGACGAAGAGCGTGCTTTGCGAGCTCGCTTCTTTCATGTCATTCGGATCCCATCACCGGTGAAATCGCTTGTAAACTGGGCCAGGCGTTTGGCGTGCAAGAGAAGGACTACGAGGCGATGGCAGCCAATGCTGTCTATACCGTATAGCATTGATCGACTCACATGAATCTGTTCCAGATGCGGGGTCGAAGCCCCGGGCATTTTCAAGGGGCAGTGCAGCACTGGGCGTAGCAGTTGTGGATGTAGCTCGTGTGCACTCTGCTGCTTCTTTTCTGCCCTAGCGTTGGGCTAGCAGCGCAGGCATGCGAAGAAACATGTGGAGCACATGGCAGCAAAGATGCCTCCCACGCAAAGTCGTAGACCCATCTGCAGAACTGAAAGAGGAGTGGTAAGGCAGCACCAATGCTGTACAGTAGTGTGGATGGCCGCGAGGGTCGTTCTGATGTTGTGCTCTGCGGGGACGCTCGGTATTCATGTGCATATTGTCTGCAGAGCCTCTTGCCATAGCCTTATGCTGCTGCTTCGCAGTTCTATGCTACTTCCACATTCATGGCGGAGCCGGGGAGAGTTGCAAATAAATTTGAAGATGTCGACTGGGTGGCTTTGCCATACTCAGTCCACCACTGTGTGCACTTTGCATGCTGTATGCGTCTTTTGTTGTCGCGTGCGTGTGCTGTTTCAGCTGGTTTCCCACGGTTATTCAAAGTTTTGCTTCCTGATGCATGTCATCTTCTTTCTTTGCAAGCCTATGGAGTTTATTGTTATGGCGGCCGAGGAAGAATCGGGAGAACCCAGATCCAGGATAGGTTTCTTGCCGAGATGCGTGGATGGGAGGCCTGTGCCGTGCCTTGGATTGCTCGTGTTTCAGTTTCAGCTTTTGGCTGCCGGATGCCGCACCAGGCCGTGTGTGTTGGCCGTGCTGGGATGCCTCGTTGGCTCACTGGCTTTCTGGGCAGCCCACGGAGGGGATCCGTTGGCTTGGAAACGACCTGGATCCAGGTTGTCGGAGTTGGTTCAAGTCTGGGCGCCCGCAGCAGACGGGAAGAAGTTGGAACCAGAGGTCAGGGATGACGGAATGCTTGGCATCCCTTTCATCGAATCCATGCCGGAGGAGACCTTGCCAGAGTATGGTCACGTAAAGAAGGAGGAAGTTGAGCTGGGCATCTCTCAGCTTGCCGTGGCTCGTGTGGATTGCTGGAACCCCTGTGACCGGAAGGCACGTTGCTACTCTTATGTTCTTGACATTTTGTGCCAAGCTGCAGCTTGCAACTAGGCGGGCTGGTGCCATTGGTGTGGCCGCGGGCGTGCGTGCTGCCGGCGAGGTGCAGACGATCCCGCGGAGTGTCGTGGCTTCGGTGGCTCCTGGAGGCCTTACATGGGGTGCCAGGGTGCCCGAATTGAGCTGAGATTCACAGCGCCATGTGATGGAAAGCTGTTGAAAGTGGAAGCTGTTGGTCTTGCCCTCCCACTTAGATTAAGCCGGAGGCACGAGTGTGTCCGCATCCCTTCACCAGCTGGTGGTCAGTGCGGTGGCCTGAGTGGGCAAATGCAAGAGGCCTTGGTGCAAGCCTTGGGCCCAAGGCAAGCAAGGGCTGTGCGTGTTTCGGAGGGTGCACTTCGGTTTTGACAGTTCTCTGTCTGAGGTGGGGGCGACAGATGGCAAGGATCGAGGCACACCACAGCATCAACGAGGGAGACGACCCGACTCTGTTGTGGGTGAGTACCTTTTCTAGCAACAGGGCTGGAGGGAGGCAAAGACGGACAGGACATGCGGCTCCGTTTCCATTGGTTGTCGTGATGAACTGCCTGATGCGAAAAAAACACGCAAAACTGACGCAAGTTTTCAGAACGATGCCTGCTCCCGTTCCGTGTGCCGCAGCCCTTCAAAGTGAGCCCCCCTCGCGCCCGTGTTGTCAGTCGACTGCGGCATCGGTTCGCGAAGACCCGTGAAGAACATTTGAGCTCATGTGCATCCTCGACTCAAAGCCTCGGAGTCGAAGCTGCTGAGTAGCAGTAGGTTTTCGCAGACTTAACTAGGCCCTGAGCCGTCTCCTGACAGGCACTGCGTCCCCGGCTATTCTTGCATTCGGGTGAGTCATCGGTATTCTGAGCGTCTCGGCGAAGAGGCGAGTCCATGTCGGCACAAAGCTCTGAACTTTGCAGTCCTTGCCGTCAAAGTGACAAAGTGCACGTAACTAAGATGCCGCCTAGCTGAAGCAGTTGGGAAGAATTGCGCTGCTCCGTATGGCGCTGCCTGGCGCAGAGAGAGCAAGTTCGCAAGTGTTTTTTCCAGATTTTAGGTTGGTTGGAGATTGCTGCAGGTTTGCGGGGGCTGGTATGACAACGCGCCCTGGGAGAACTGCTGCGCTGCTGGGCACCAATGCACGCAGATGAACGTTGGCCTGGGACTGAAGGCGCTGTTCGACAAGCTCACACGGGTTTCCCAAACTCGGTAATCCGTCGCCAAGTAAGATGGCCGACACAACTCGACACCGTTCTACATCTCCAAGTCCCGGGTCGGTCAGGGGGCTTCGGAGTCTTGAACTGGAACTTTCTGGTTTGCGCTCGAGAGGTTTTGAGTTGAACATGTCATAGCATACAGTATAATGTATTTTCGCTTTGGGGTTCACCTGCGTGATGCCCCAAAAGCAAAGCTTTTAAAGGATCGGTGCTATTTCACCGTGGGTTTGTGTGTCGGCAGTGAGCAGGGCGGGCATGCGCAAGACATGCCAAAAGCGTAGCAACTGCAAGCTTTTCTGAACGAATCCAAACCGCCGAAGGCATCCAAATGCGTGCCGTTGTCGCTGCTGCATGCCGGGCAATCTTGCCTAGCACACTGCCACCAGGACCATCGTCGACAAGTTGTAATTATGTTGATTGACACAGGGCGTCCTATTTTGTGCTTTTCTGCTATTCTGTTTTAACTTGCATGAATCTCGCACCTGTTCTTGTGTTTGGCTGGCGAGGCAGAAGGCGAATGCGCGTGGTGTGGAGCGGGAAATGCATGCTGCTCCCGACACAGCCGAGAAGGGCCTTTGGAATGCAAAGATGTCCCGTTCCTCAGTTTGGAAAACTCCCAATGCGTCGCGCCCAAGTATTCTCCTGCAGTCAAGCACTCGGGGCAAGATTGCCTTCCACATTGTAAAGGAGCAGGTACATGTGACTGGTGTGGTGCAGGGAATGCTTGCTGCCGGCAAGGAAGCACTGGTGACCCAAAGGAGTGTCATGGCGTGCAGAGCTTCAGTCGATCTAATTCACACGTCTGCGTCAGACCAGTGCAAAAAGTATCGAGTGATCACTCGCAGCAAGATTGCTGGGAGCCTTGTGAGAAGACTCCGGGATACTGCTCGTGGTGCGGTCAGGGTATGGCTTGCTGCCGGAAAGATGCCGCAAACGACCCGTATGAGTGCCATGGAGTCACAGCTTTCAGCCGACATGATCGCCATGTCTGTGTTCAGCCTCTCTCTGCAATGCCTGACGGCCTGCTGTCTGCAAGCTCTTCGGTAGACCATGCAGGAAGGGATTGTTGGTACGAATGTGGTGGATCTGGCTTTTGCAGCTGGTGTGGCGATGGAAATGCTTGTTGCAGATTTGGAGCACACTTTGATGCAGAAGAGTGCAGCGGTGCCACAGATTTCAGCTCAACTGAGCATCATGTCTGTGTGGGTGTGCCCTCCATCATTAACAAGGCCGGATTTACTGGTTTCCTCATTGGTTTGTCAGAACACAGCCTGCAAAAAAATCATTGTCTTGCAAAGGAAATAGCACTGCTGTCAGAAATTGCCACGTCAATGGGCCTGCACCCAGGTACAGATCGCTGACCAGCGGCTGGTATTTAACGGTCGTGAGCTTGGTCCCGGTGGGAAAGTTCGAGGCGCTGCAGGGACGGGATCTCACGCTCGAGAGGCGTGGCTGGCCGGTGTTGACGCCATTAGAACTTGGTCTTTGCAGCAATCGCTGGGGGCATTGAAAGCCTTTAAGGCTGAGGGCCATGGGCTCAAGGTGGCCGCTGGCATTTACCTGTCCACTTACAAGGACAAGTATGAGGGGGACTTCTGCAAAATGGAGCACCCCTGGTGGCAAGAACAGCTGCGAGAGATCTTGTCCAACGTCACACTGCACCGCAACGATCCAGGGCTTCTGTGGTGGCAGGCCGGGAACGAGCTCGAGCTCCAGACTGACTGGGTTGGCGGTTCCGAGTGCATCTGGCGTCGATTGGAGTGGGTGGTTCGGCATATCAAGGTGGTCGACCCTAACCACCCCGTGGGCACAGCAATTGCTGGGTTCCATGCTGCCGCGTGCATGGGGTTAACAGCTTTCTTTGCTTATTAAAAGAAGGTTTCATGAGATTTACTTATAGTGTAGCAGGCCAGATGCCCGGGATGTGTATGCGGCATGTGAGGTGAAAGTTGGTCGCCTCAATAGCCTGTGCCCATCACTGGATTTCCTGGGTCTGAATGTCTATGGTGGAGACGCCCTCAACGTTCCTAAGAAGCTGCAGAGTGCAGGTTGGACAAGGTGGGGGTCTGAACATCCTGACAAGACTGCAGCAGTTTGAATCGTTTGTGTCTGGGACTCGGTAGGCCCTATGCCATCACCGAGTTTGGTGCTGCGGGCGCGTGGATGACGCCCCGAAGCCCGTGGAAGGCTTCAATCGGATTGAGAGGGATCTTGCTTTCGGCGTCGCCGTCGCTGCGTTCACGCGTACCCTTCCACCAAGGGCAAGCCTTGCTACCATTAACTGCGATGGTGTTGTAGAAGAAAGGGTGCCACCGACGCTATGCGGGGCTTACCCCTCGGATGTGTGGTGACCGTCATTTTGCGACTTACTTTTGGAGGAGCGATTACCGGCGTTACCGGGCTTGCCTCCGGGCGGGGTGGTCACCGGTGTTACTGGGCTGGTCACCGGCGTCCGTGAATTGGGCGGTCACAAGCATTACCGGCTTCCCTTTGGATGGCGTGGTCATCGGCGTCAATTACGGGACTTACTTTTGGATGTGGTAGAGGATGGGGTTTCCGTTTCGTTGGGCCGGACTCCTGTGTCCTGGGATTTGTGAATCCTGGGGTTTTCTGGATTCTATGCGATCGCGACGCCGAAACGTAGAAGGGAAATGGTAGATATGTCGACCAGATCGCTCTCATGATCTGTCCCACCTGCTAGCAAGAGAACAACACGAGATGAATCTGCGAGGCACCGATGGAGCCAACGTCTTCTCAGTGTCTCGGTTGACTTGAAGAAACTGGAGAAACCATGGCATCGTCGCTCGCCATGCGCGACCTCAGGAAGGCCATCGGTATGCGCCAGATCCACCAAGAATGCTTGGCACAAGAGAGTTGCCTGGGCACCTTCGCTTTCATGTGGGGCTGGAAATTCGAACACACACCCACGTGGTTCAGCACCTTCAACGAGCCTTGGTTTAAAGGGATGACTGGAATGAGAGATGGTTTCTGGAGGCCTGTTGACAGGTGGTGTGTCGAGTGGGAGCTTCGGGGCAGAGGTGCCCACGCCCAAGGAGTGGCGCGCTGCTGGCTTTGACGAACCAGCCTCAGATGTCATACAGGCAATGCAGGACTGGCTCTGAGTTGAGCCGTTTTCGCTCAGGTCTTACGTATTCAGTCGTATCATTATACTTGATTGTCGGGTGTCGTGCGGTACGCGTGCGGTACGGCTGGTCTTCTCATGCTCTTGGATTGGAGTACGACTGTTTCTGTGAGCATGACATGAGATGATGGTGTTTTGCGTTGGAGGAAGTATGGACCGGCCGCGCCCCGAGACACCCGGCGCCGAAGATCACGGCCGTGAAGGCAGCTGTGCCTGAGCAGGCAAGGAATGGCACGAGAGAAATCGAGCGACTGCGACAGGTCTTCGGACCGCAGGGGCCCACACCTGCCCCGTTGGGAGTCACGGTGCAGCGCGGTGCGATTCTCCGGCTGGATGTGTGCCTTGCCTCCGCTCTCAGCTTGCTGGGTTTCAGACTTCACTTCGGATATATGCGGATTGCCGAGCAAGGATAGACAGTTCCGACAGTAGTTCCGTCCAGCGCTCCTCAACCGCAACTCTGTGATACCTCCACTCTATTGGTGATTAAGACAGCGACCGTGACGAGGAGTGCCGTTGACATGCCCAACAACGATGATCGCGCCTGGGAGAACAACGATGTGGTATGGGTACTGACGAGCGACAACCCCGAATCACCATCAGAGGTGGCTTCGGCAGTCCCTGGAGTCCTCCAGGTATGTCAGGGATCCAGCCCACGTGACAAATTGACTGCCTTGGTTCCAACGGAGATGTTGGAAGAGGGCCGCGCTTACAGACTGTATGCTTTTGTCCGGGATCATGTGCCGCAATCCCGCGGCCAGTGTCTTCCTCCACGGGATGGCAGTGAATGTGACGTTGCTGTCAGATGGATCTTGAGCGAAGGCACCAATCTACATGCTGACTGGTATCCCGGCTTGAGTCCGGCATCGAGCTACTCAGAGGTGCAGGACTTCCTGAACAAAAGGGGGAAATGTCCACGGCCATGCCCCATACAGCATGGCGTGACGGAGGCTTACATGAATCTCCCGTTCAAGATATGTCATGATGCCACCTTTCCCGAGCCATGTGCGTGGGAAATGCGCCAGCTGAAGAACCGCCTCATGAACAGCTCGCACGGGTTTCCTGGGCTCTCTTCCGCATCCAGTTTCCAGGCTGGGCTGTGGGACATTGTGGGACGAAACCGGTGTTTACTCAAAAACATGGCCCCGTTTGCCATGCACCAGTGGACCAGGAGCTGCAAGCCTTCCTCCATGCACAATCGCCCGAGCTGTGCCCGGCTCCTTGTGATGCCTGCGAGGATTCTTGGATTGTTGGGTCATGATGCTGGGGCCAACAAAAATCCAAACAAAGTTCCATCATTTCCGAGGATGCGGCCCAAGACTCGGCCTGTGGCAGGCGCGGAGGAGGGATGCGGAGGGCAGGTGATCGCAGATGCCTTTAGGGGGTTCCGCTCTTGCATCTCTGTCTTAGGAGAGTCGAGAGGAGATATCCCTAGATTTCGTTACTTTCCTGTCAGAGAACGTCAAAGCTCTCATCAGTGAGTCGCCACAGGATTTCTTTCAAATGCTGTTGTTTGACTGTCGGGGCCTGGTGGTATGCTACTGTTGCACCCCATGAGTCCCGTGTCATCTCACCATGGCACCGCTGTGGAGGGCAATTGCGGATCAGATGCAGCAGATACGGGAGCCGCTGACAGCTCCTTTCAGCGGGGTCTCCATGTGGGCCGGATATTCCGAGCTTCAAAGCGTTCTGGAGCGCCTGAGCCGACAGGGAGCCGGAACTCTCGCAGACACGTCAAGCAATTTAGCTAGCGACTAGTATTCGTAGCTCAATGTAAGATAGGAGTTGCTCCGGCTGTCAGAAGTAACTGAGGCGATACGACAAACACTCCTGCCCACAACCATGTGCTTTGAGAGTGCCCAAATTCGCAGCTTGCCTGCACGAGTTACGAGTGCTGCTGTGTTCCTGTTGTTGCTCTTGGCTACAGCAGCGATGTGGTATCGACTGTTGTCAGAGTTCGAGGGACTTCAGAATGGAGGGGAAGGAATCGACAGCAGTGCCGTGCCCGACAGCCCGAAGCCACCATGTTCGCTAATGTAGGCACTCTGAAGTAAGTTCTCAATTGCTTTCATGATACCTGCAGCACCACCTTGAAGCCGCGTACCTGGCCTTCGGGGAAGACCGGTCGAGAGCTCCAACCCGGGCCGGAGCCCGGGCTGCGAGCTGGGCCAGCGCAAGTGACCTCCTAAGCCTTAAGCCGTGCTTGCCAGCACATCGGACAATAACGCGTTTCGCCACGACGGAAGCTACCTCTTCCATCTTTATATATTCCCCACAAGAGTGGGGGTCACCGGCCTCGGCCTTGAGAATCTCCAGTTTGCAGTGGCCGGAGCTACTAGGCGTCGTGGCCTATGCAGTTTCGAGTTTATGAGCTGGGTAATGCATGTGGCTCACGTGGACCCAGTCCTGGTCTTTCAATTGCCTCACTTGCAATTGCGGGTGGCACTGTAGCACCGGTGCAAGCAGCTAACAGACTTGGACTACTTACAAGAGCGATAGACGACGTTCCTCAATCAAGATCATCGCCTGCTGGCTTCTCAAGGGATGGCAAGAGCTGGAGCAAGGGGAAAATCTGCATGTGCACCGCTGCTGATGCCTCTCCACTGCCACCCCCACATGATAAGCAGACTGTGTCAGCAGGTGGCGGATGATGTTCAAAGATGGAGAGAGCAAGGACAGAGAGGGAGAGATAGTCAGACATCTCCTTGTCTTGGCTCCAAGAACCCTGGCCCTAGCCCTGAGAGTCGAAAAACAGAAGAGAGAGACAATGGAAAGAGCCAGAGAGAAGGAGCGCAGATGAAGGTATGCCGCAGCCAAGTTGATGCTTGTGAGAGGGAGTGGGGTGACCCTTACCTGGCCTTACCTTGCATCTTCGTCCCCTCCCAGGTGCAGGCCACCTGTCCTTCCTCGACTTGATTCTTGCAGCCTGAGCAGTGCGACGGTCAGCTGGCCACAGGGGCACCTTCAGCAGTGGTGTTGGGCACAGAGGCAGCCAATAGTTCTGCCCTTGCTGCGACAAGCTGCGGGATGAGCCCCCATTTGCACAGAGAAAATAATTCGATCAGGCATTTAGCCCCAGCCACGCCGTGGAATTGATTTTTGGGCGCTCCGGCGGGCAAGGATCCGCCGGTGCTGCAATTTTGGAAGGTATCACGCCGTAGTTGATGATACATGCTGGATCGGAGAAGGATCTTTCAGAAGCTGGAGTTTGATTATCTGCCGGTGAGTCCTGTGGTTTTCGCCTTCAAAGACGGTGTATCGAACGTGCAAGCTGTACAGCTGGACAGATCCAATGGCCAGCGCTCGTGGACTGGGGGGGGTGTAATCCTGCATGACATGCATGCTCGCGATGCTGTTGATCAGATCCGACTCTGCTCCGTGTCCACGAAGTTGGGCGTTGGCATTTCCACCTCGTGCAATGCACCGGCTTGGCATGAACATGAACTACCTACATGCTGATGGCTGGTAGGTGCATTTCCGTAGAAGGGAAGCTGGAGTCCATGCCCCGAACAACCGCATCTAACTGCCACTGACACCAGCGTGCTCGAGCGGAAGATTGCCTTGGAATGCCTTGCATCAGGGTACCCGCGAGCTCTTCGACTACTCCTCCGGCGTGCTGCAGGTCAAGGCAGGAACAGGAATCCCAGAAAACTCGATTTCGATGAAAAGTCGAAGCAGAGTCGCACACCAGCGCGAGCATGCCAGGCAACGGGACAAAAGCCATGCCCTCAAATGCCGTCTGCTGACCATTCGCAACTGTTGTCCAGCCCGATGCAATCCCGACAAAACTTGCAGGTTTTATGTAGGGCCCTTCGAGGTCCTCCTTTGCTGTCTAGTCTCCGAAGCCCAGCCCATCAACTCAGTGCTGACAGGTGGTTTCAGGTGGAGAGCTGCACAAGCGCCTGCATGAGGCGGCCACAGCCTGCGGCTTCCGGCTTCCAGATGAGCATCTGCCTGAATTTTCAGCTTCGTCAGGCTTTGCCTGAAAAGAGAAGGTTTCGACACAGTGCCCTGCCTTAGTGAACCTTCGGGGAGCATCCGCGCACCTTCATTGATTCCGTCGCATACATGCCCACGCAAGATGCCGAGATGCCAGGGCAGCAGGCAGCAGATGGTACATCCCATTCCCGGACCCTCGAGCCCAGTGTGGACAGACAGGTTTCTTCTAATCCTCAAGGTGCGATACAGGTACCCTTGCAGTGCCTTCGGCTTCGCAGGAACAGGTTGCTTGTTGCTGCGTGCAGTACTTCGCCCAAGGCCCATTTACCATCGGCGACGTCCAAGCCTGTGAAGCTGACGAACTTGGAGGCCATCCAGCAGTTTCGAAGCGCTACGGCAAGCGGCCAAGATAGATCAAGCCAGAGAACAATTCAAACTCACCCATGACAGGGGACTATACCAACATGGTGCACGACTTTGCACGCGTTGTTGTCAATCATTGCTACACTGTAGCCTAGCAGCGTTGTTTGAGGCTTTGCTAGCTGCGACGGACCTTGATGCCAGGCCTTACCTTCAAAAACGTGGTGGCTGGTGCCCCAGCAGCAAGCACTGCAGCAGTCCCGTGAAATGATTCGAACTGAGTAGCAGGAGTTTTCATAGCTCCATCCTGCCACTCACAGACCGCCGCTTTTGCCCAAAATTCCAAAGTTCAAGTTGTGACAAGCAGGCAAGTCTGCATCCGCACAAATGGAAGAGCACGTTGCGAGCCTAGAGCACAACGACTCGCCAAGAACTCCCTCACGCTGACTTCGGAGACTCTTCAGAGTTCCTGTCATGGCCTTTGTTTGCGTTTCACTGGCCCCCTGTCATGCTCTGCCCCAGGGAATGTGCAGTGACCTGTTGGACTGCATGCATGCTTTTAGGTGGCTTGAGTGTGACATAGTGCGACCTACTTGGCTTGATGTGACATCGAGGCAGTACCAGAGGTCAGGTGCTGTGGTGTTTGGGACCTCTTAGATGTAGACTGTAGACAGCGCCTCGAGCCCCCTGCCGGAGCCGCTCCATGTAGGAGGAGTTCCATGTAAGCCCTCTCTAGGGCGGACTAGTTTGCTTGGATTTGGTGGGCTTGCCTGGCTGCTGACCAGATACCGTGCGGCTGCACGTGTCAACATTCTGAAGACGCTCGACATAATCTAAATTGATGGCGTTGCCAGGAGGTGCGTCTTGGGAATTATGGGATGTCCGGACTCGCCACCGCAGCTGCTGTCTTGTGACAGCCTGCCTTTTTCTCGGCGCATCGCTCCCTCATAGGTCCTGTCCTAGCCACTCACTGCTTCTCAACAGGCCGTCATTCTGCCAGCTTGGCCGGTCTGCTACCTTATACGATGCCCCTCCGATCAGAAGCCGGGAGGCCAACCTTCGCTGGGCAAAAGTCTTCAGCTTGTGCTTCTACAAAGCTATGTGCACACTTGCCAGCAATGATTGGAATGAATGCATTTCTTGTCCTGGGAGCCGAAGCGCGGCTGGGCGACAGCGCCTGAGCAGCTGAAGCCCTTGAGCTCTCGTGCACGGCGCTTGCGTGAAAGGGCTCCTCTTGCACTTGTGGCTGGGCGTCGTGAAAACGGGAACGGCACGACTCCGTTCAAGCCTGAACGCGTGGCAGTGGACCCGATGCTTTTTTGATGCCGCCTTTCTCCTGGAAACGCTTGCCGTCATCGATACAGTGCATCTCAAAGGACAGCAGCGCCTGGCGAGGTCATAAATGCGTGCGCCGCCCACGCCATCAGAGCCAGGTAGCGCAGAGATCTGCGGAGCGGAAACTGTGCGGAGGGCTTGCCGGTTTCCCGAGCTGCAGGGCATGTGTTGCTCTTCCAGCTCGGGCTAGGTGGTGGGAGGTCCAATGCCAGGAGGCTGCCCGGAGAGTATACTCAATTTTTTTGCACTACTACAGTTCATTGGCCCGAGCAAGGAACGTAGCTTTTCGCTTCCTTTTCGCATGTTTTGCTCACAGCGGGAATCGAAGCAGTTAGAGCAATTCTAGACATGTGCCAGCATGTCGCGGTTGCTGCTGAGTTTCTGGACGTGGTTTGTGCACCAGAGTGCGGGGCTCCTTTCGCTTGACTGGGCAGTGGAAGCAACGCCGTGCACACCGGAGGAGATTCTGACAGCTTTGGGCTGCTTCCGGTGGGTGCGGCCCAAGACGCCAATCACAGCTCTTTGGTACATGTGCGAGTACCCGAGCCCCAGAAGTCTCAAGCTTCACAACATCAGTGCCACAGCAAAGCCTGCCACGACGAGTCTTTGCTGCAGATGCTTTGCCAAGTTTGCCTTGATCCAACGCCAGCTAGCACAGGAGTCTGCAAGACTCAAAACCCAACTGATGCTCCAGACTGACACTGTCCGAAATCTTTCGACAGAACTTCGCGTGCCCCTAATCTTCCGAAGCCCAGCAAGATATGACGATGTGCGGCGTGCTTCGATACTGTTTAACAGAGTCTTCGGCAAGTTTCTACGAGATGCATGGTTCTTGTCCACTTCACTGCTGGCGCTTGTGGAAGATGGTGGCGCAGACTCATCATTCGACTTTCGCACTCTTGAGGGTCTGGTTGCCGACACTTTGATTCTTGTTCGCCACAACACGGACTCACTGCGGAAGCTGCTGCTACAGACTGAGAACAGCTGTTTACCCAACATCTTCCACCAAACCTGCACGGCAGATCACCTGGCAGTGTTCCACAGTTTTCCTCCAGTTGAAGGACCTGAACCCGAGGGCCATGCCGTGGATTTCTTAGGCCGCCGTCTGCAACGATTACTATAAACATCGGTCGGTAAGTTCGGTTCAGGTATTGCTCTGTTCGGTGGAGCACTCACTTTTTCTATGTGAGTGACGGAGGCATTGCGACAAACATCACCACGGTGTGTGACTATCAGATGTCTGCCCTTCTGGCACCGACTAGGACGGGCTTCTTAGAAACAGTGCGCAACAGCGGTGAGTAGCAGCAGGGCGTGGCAGCCACCTAGCCTCAGTGTCAAGACATGGGGACCACGAGGACTTTGGACTGCATTTTTCGAAGAATGGCGCTGCCCAGCACCCGATTCTGGCCATTCCTTGACGAAGAATATTTCGAAGATTGGCTGATTGTGTTGGCTGATGGATGGTTTTGAATGTGTTTGGCAGCAAGAGATCGTGGCTCTGTAATTAGTAGGTGGCGCACCGAGAGTGCACGGAACCGAAGCAGCACTTTGCTCTGATGCAAGGAGTGGAAGGACATCCTCGAAACAGCGCTTCGTGGAGCGCGTGAGGGTCGCAACCTGCGCATGGCCGAACCTTGACTGCTGTGCCTGACAGTCGGAAATCCTGTATTCCTGCTGCACATAAGCAAACATGAGTCGGAGATGTGCAGCTTGATGCTCAAACGCACTCATTGAAACACACCTGCCAAAAGTGTCGCCGTACCCAAGGAGATTGGGTCCGGTCCTCACGCAATTTGGGCCATGCGTGCCTCGCCGGCTTTGTGACCTCGCCTGCCAGAAACCATCGTGAGAGTTGGAGGTTCACACCAGTACAAGAACAAGGACGCAACGAAAAATAGTTGTACGCTCAGGACAAGTGATTAGTTTTACACACAGATTAGTCACAGATTTGTTGTATGTGCTGATCACGTACATATCCGACTTGTCGTGCTCACATCCCCGGGCGAGGGTTCACCGATGGATCTTGCAATTGTCACACTTGTGCGAGTAGGTTTTGTGCCAGCGAGTGCTGCCAGAACATGAAATCCGAAAGCCTTTGCGTGCATCTGCTTTCCTATCGCCGGGTCAGTCATTGTTTTGCGAACTGCAAACGATGGGTTGCGGTCGCAGTGTCTTTGGCATTTTTTCTTCCTCCATGGCTCTCATTCCCGGACCCAGCCAGGTGCTGCGAAAGCCTTTTTGCAACACGCAGGGCCCGAAGCGGGCTGCGAACTTCTCCTTGTGGAGCCATTCGACTTAGGAGACTGCTTTGGCCTTGGTTAGTAGGATCGTGCACAGACCACTCACGGACGAGCTCACTTGCATCGGTAGCGGCCGCGATCAGTTGTGAATGTGGGTTTTTGTAGCTCATCAAGGGTCATGGCACGTGTCGCAAGAGTTGGCCAGCAACTCTAGTACAGCCTCAGGCAGCTTTTCTCTGAAAGTTTGTGCTTGTGTCACCAGGAGATGGATCTCAACTTGGTGAACACATTGCTCGGAACTTGCCGGAGCTTTGACTGCACCCAGAAGCGCGGCTGGTGCTTCAGCTAGCTAGCAGCTAGCTCCCTCTTCAAGAATCTTTGTGCAGACGTGACAGGAGGGTCGGTGCAAGTGGGTGGTGGAGACAGACCCGGTGGAATCTGGCAAGCAACTGCAGGCCGCTTCCACACTCCTTCGCGCCGTCATTGCGCAAACCCATCTCAAGCCAAAAATGCACACGTCCGTCGGGTCGCTGAGGCAATTCTGGGGTCTGGTGACCCTTGGGATCTCGTTGACATCGACGTACAGGGGGCAGAGCCCCTTGGTTGCGTTGTTCGTATCAGGACATTGCACCCCCGAAGATCAACTCAGGCATGCTATGCTGCAGGGCATGGCGCCCTGGCTTGTGGGCCGTGTGCGTCGTCTCCATATCTCTACGCATTCACGCCGGATTCACAGCGACATCCTTCGCTGGCTGCAGCTTGCCGGCTGGACGATCCTTGCTCAGTTCACCTTCCTGCTCTTCGGTCGCAACATAAATTATGAGTCTTAGAAACACAAGCATCTGCCGTTTTGAAAGAATTTTTGCAAGAGATGTGAGCAAGTGGATGGCGAGTGTAAACATGCCACTACACTCGGAGTGTCAGCCAGGATGGCACCCTTCGGATAACAGGCGGCAAAGAGCGAGAGAGACAGAGTCTTGAGGACTTTGCGTATCACGACTTCGTGTGGAGACAAGCTCGCACTCTGTAGAGAAGCTCGCTGCAAAAAAAGCCGGCCCTTCCCAAATGTGTAGAGTTGTCTATGTGCCTCGTTGCTTTCCGTTGCTAGTCGTGTTGGTTGGTTGACGTCGCAGTGAAAACACATGCTAAAAAGCTGGGGCAAAACTAAACAAGTAGGACCGTACTCATACCGGTGTGACAGAGAGAGGTGTTCGGTGTGGATGGCAGCGTCTGGTTCTGCTTGCTTGTGCTGCTCGGCCCGTGCCACACGGTTTGCGGCTGAAAGGGGGGTTTCGGGACTCATCAGCCCTCACCTGTGAGCTTGTTGTCTTGTTCTGCTTTCGGAGTCGCCCTTATGACAACTCCTTTCAGAGGGGCTCTGTCCCCTGTGGGACTGGGACTAAAGGCGGGCAGCTTTGTAGCGCCCATTGGCGCACAACAGGTGGGTGCATGCACTCTCGCGGGGGGCGAGGCAGCACCTCGTTCGTCAGACCGACCGAACGAAAGAAGCAGATTCCATCCCCTGTGATGTCATGGTTTTTTTCATTCTCCCCCTTGTTCAAGCGCTTCCCCCATCCAACATTCCCCACAGTTTCCCAAACAGCTCTACATATGCCAAAATTCCACGCACGGTTTCCACAGTTTCCCACAGCTGCAGCGTCGACAAGATGTGATTCAGGATTTGTCCGGTTTCCTGATGACGATTCTTTGGCCCAGCGGCTGTTTTTTTCATTTGGAGGACATTTGTGCTGGATTTGTTGCGTTTTCGGACCGTGGCACCCCGGCCTGTCTAATGAGTCTAATAGGTGCCAGCTACATAGCACCCCAAGCCCTAGGTCGAGATCGTGAGATACCTGCAAGCAGTAAAGCTTAGCCCCTCAGGTAATGATGTGTTCGTGTCGTTGTTTTAGCTAGGATGGTGTTTTTAGCATATTTGCATCTGCTAATTTTGTTGGAGAGGGGCTTCGAGTGAGCTCTGGAACTCAGTCTAGTGCCCTTTGAGAGAGTCTAAGCCTGTTTGGACTAGTGTAATTTGAATAGCTTGGTAGAAAAGCCGGAGTCGAAAAAGCAAACTGAGCTTTAACACGTGTGAGGTCTGCGGCCGGGCCCAAGGAAGTGCCACTTGGGCCCTTCGTGAACTGTGATGGACACATCAGCGCAGTGCACACTTCCGAGGAGAAAAATCGGGAGTGCGGAGACGATGCTTGAACCGCTTTGCCTGCTTTCGGGTACTCGCGCATGTGCGAAACTGATGTGAGTCTATCAGAGCTCCGTGACAAGCAAGGATCGCACCCTCGAGCTGCTCGTGGCTCAGCTGTTGCGATTTCCAGACCTTCTGATTCTGCATCTCTGCTTGATCATGATCTCAACGCTGACCGCTCGCCAACAGCAAACGGACCACGACCTGATTCTTCCAACCTCGCTCGGCAGAGCAATATACCTCTCGCGAACATGGTTATGTGCCATGTTCACGCAGATGCGAAGTAGTGACGATAGTTATGGAATCCTTCAGGGGGTTTTTCTCCAAGGGCTATGTGTATGGCACTCCTGGAACTGTACACTCTCTCCCCTTGAACCACCCCACCTTAAGGATCCTATACTCTAAGACAGAGCCAGGGCCTCCCATCATGTCTCAAGGGCAAGCAAGGCGATGTGGATACGATTGTAGGAGTTGTGTCCACAATGAGGCCCGAGGCTAGTTTCGGCAAGCAGGGCCACAACACGAGACTCAGTTGGCTCTGCCAGGATTGCTGATCCGCAGAACTCCGGGTCTGTATTTCAGGCCGATGCCTCATGTCACATTGGGACGCTGACCATCAGGCAGCGGACATTGACGTAAGTGCAATTCGGAAGGTGGCATCCCTGTACAACTGTCTGCAGATGCAGGCAGGGAAGTTGGATGAAAATGCGACGCAGACATGCGCAGTTGGAAGCTTCTCAGGAACCAGGAGACTCCCCGGAGGACGGCGTAACTTGTGGGGAGCTTGGACGAGCTTTGAAAGTAGGCGGAGATCACAGGGCACACGTCGATGCTTCAAAGCTTCGAAGGCTACGCCGAGACTACGACTCAGGGTTCAGCAGCTGCCTCAGTCGCTCACAGCGCTCACAGTCTGTGGAGGCTTGGATGAAGGTGCATGGAATTGGTGCATGGAATTCTGAAGTGCTTCTCGAGGTTTGCGCAATAGCCTGTCCAGAATTCCCGGCCCGTTTTGCACATACGCAGTAGTGCTTGTGCCTGTCGCGATAACATTGGTAGGCCACGTTACAGACAAAAGCACGGTCTAGGGCTGTGCAAGAGCTTCGGTTCCAGCAGCTGGAGCATGCAAGGGCAGGTACTGCGGTACTGCTTCTGCAGACGAGTCTCGCCGCAAACTTGGACAATCCCCACAGGGATGCCTGGCAGCGGAACAAGAACTCGAAATAGATGATCTGAAAATGGCTGAAAGCGAGAAGCTTGGCCCCAGTGAGCTACAGGGTGAATCACTGTGCGCGGGCGCGAAGTAGTCGCTCGCGCTCCAAATCGTGTGCTGCCTTAAAAGTGTGTGCATCGAAGAATCGAGCTCCACTTGGATTGGGAGCACTCCTGTGTAACTGGCCGAAGGGTTCTGATGTTGAGGTTTTGAAGAAAGGGACACCCTCCAGACTGCAAAAGCGTTCAGGGGCAGCTGGGGCGTATGCGTCATGCCGCGAAGTACCCGGACGATTTTGAAGACATCCCTAGCAGCACCACAGGCGCTTGTAAAGCGCCCTGCCTTCACCTTTTCGCTAGACCGCAGATCCTGTTTGATTCGGCGTAGCAACGTGAAAGCGCGGTGATGTACGACTGCCAATGCCAGGCTGCCACTGTTTTCCGGAATTACTTCCTGAATGGGGTTGGGCAAGGGCGTGGTCAGCAGCAGGCCTGTCTGGGCAGGGTTGGCCAGGCTTGACTTTCAACAGCCTGGCCGAAGTCTAACCGGCCTAACCTCCCTAAGCTGGGCAGATCGACCTGCTCACGCACGTCGGTGATCTGGTTGGAAATCGCAAAGAAGGAGACTCAGCTGTCAAGCCTGCTCGGAGTTGCAGGTCAACTTCAGGCTTCGGGCGCACTAAGTGTGTGCCCTTTTGCCTAGATGCTCTTGTGTTCGAGAAGCCTTTCGCAGGATACTGGGTCGTGAGGAATGGCTTCATGATGCCCAGGTTCCGCCCTTGCGCCAAAAAGCAAGGTTTGGATGCCGAAGATGTGAACAAAGCCCACCTGGAACCCAGCATGGTGAAGTCTGCAAGGCCTGGGGGAAAGCTCATAGATCTCGGCGAGAGTCGGCCCCTCAATCAGTGTAGCTTGCAGCATGCCTTTGAGAGCTGCCCGGAGCAAGGGCTCTTGTTGACTGTCCCAGGGCTTGCCAGTGATCAAATTCTGGCAGATGACGTGGCCAGTCGAGTTCGAGTAGGGGTTACCCTCTCAGACAATGATTTGTTATGCATAGTGTACTGGCATATGGTTTGACTGAGTGGTCACTTGCAGGTTCACTGGGACACACAGGTGCTGCTTGACGACATTTCTCACAACGTCTGTCAGGCGTTCTCTTTTGCGTCATCAAGCCGGAATTCGGGAATTGCTGCAAGAGTGACTGAGCTGCGCAGGTGTGTTGCTCTGCGCCCGCTGTCGCGTTTTCCAAGATTGTGAAGGCAGCGCTCGCAGTGCTTAGGCAATCCAGGTATCCTTGTGCGAACCGGAAGTGGGTGCTAGTTGAATGCAGGTCCCTGTCAGGTCGGACAAAGATTGAAACGGTTTCAGCACAGAGATTCCGCCTGTAGGCGCAGCACTGGGCGCCATTTGCCATCAGTTTGCTGACTGGTGTGGGGACCCGGCCGGTGTCCAGCAGACGAGCCGTATAGATGATTACTCGAATCCCAGTTTGACCTTCCGCCGTCCGGTCTCAGGTGCCTATGCCCTTAGCTCAGCTTGGGTGCTGGGCCTCCTCGCATGACTGGTGGGGTTGCTTCAGCAGCCCATGTCGCCAGATATCAGTGGAGAGGTTTATCTCATTCTCTAAAGCCTCAATGAGACTTCCGTTCCAGAGCTGGTAGCTTGGTGCCGAAGCCCTGAGGATGCTACGCTGGCCGCGGGTGCAATCCTGGCGGCACGGCAGGAACCTCAGAGGTACTGATAGCAAGTACCACAGCACAGGGATGCCAGCAGCCGAGACGTCATGGCTTCGCTTTCGCCCGGGGTTCGTGACAGGCGGCGGCAACGCGTCAAAGTTTTTCTCACCGCGATCGGAGCTGGAGCTCTAGGCTCGGCATGGAGTCCGCGGAAGTTTCCTCAATTCCAGGGTCCAGGTCCCTGCTGCATCGTTCCTCGCTCCCTGCACGTCACCCTTCGGAAGGAATGCATACTGCCTTTCGGCGCCGCCTGTTGTTGAAAGGGCAGTGCTTCGAACGCTGTTACTGTGCCTGCCTTTTTGCAAGATTCGCACCACTCCTGATCGAGACTGTCGATTTTCGTCTCAGGTTTCATGGTGTCTACTAGATGCGTGAGGTGAAGGCTGCCTCAGATTCAGAGGAAGGGTCGCATGAGGGAAAGCTGTGAATGCATCAAAAGGTGCAACCTGGGAAGAAGGTTTATTCTCGTGCGTTTTTGTGTTTGCAATCATGCCCGCATGTTGTTCAAGGTCTCCCCCCTCCCTTTACGAAGTTCCTTCTAAACCATGGCAGTGAGAAGCTTTGCCAGCCGAGTGGATGGCAGAGCCATGCAGAGCTTCCTGAAACTGTGAAAACTGAGACAGATGCCAACACCACATGCAGGCGGGAGAAATGAACGAAGGTGGCCTAACTAGCCTGTTTGTAGGGCTAAGCCGTCGAGGACCCTACCGAGAGTTGCAACATGGATCTCTGCAGCTCGCAATGCGCTGATCCTTCGCCTTCTCTTTGGGAGCTGTTTAGAGCTCGTGGAGCGGTTGCTCTTTGCATAGGTGTCTCGGGGAAGTCTGCGTAGCTACCATCGGGAGGCAATCGACCCAGCTGGATCTACCAGGCTGTTGACAGAGCTTGGGACCCAGCCAGGTGTGCTATCCTTTTCTGTCGGCTGGGAGACTGCCTCAGGTGTTGGAAGCGTATAAGTCCGCTCCTTTGGCCGATGCCCCTGAAGTTCATGGCGTTGAGCCGAACACGAGACAGCAGACAGCGCTAAGCGAAGCCGGACGCACCTAGGACGTGTACTTGATCCACTTTTCCCGAACAGACAAGTTTGAGAGGCTGCAGGCCTTGCTGAGCAGATCCCGGACCAGGAGCACGTCGAAAGCGCATGTGATGCTCTTGCTCTGAATGCCAGGGCAGCCGGCCAGAGCCGGTTCCACGGAATCGAAGCACGCTGGACGATAGGGTGCTGAGCCCAGTGCATGGCAGCATTGACTATCTTCTCTTAGTGTGCCTTTCATGAAGCGGTCGCGGCCATCACATTGCCAGGTTGCTGCTATGCAGAAAGAGGCAACCCACCGCTGCTTTCAACATTTGCAGATTCGCTGTTCCGAGTTCGCTGTGCAATCGCTACTAGGTTGGAGAGGCAAATATGCTGCACAAAACGCAACGCTATCCGATGCGCGGCTCTCGAAGTAGCGTCGGGCTGTGCAGCCCTTGGTGTTTGTCAGAGGCTGTGCGGACCGAAAGAATGAAGCACATCGCAGTAAGTAACAGTCAGAAGTACTGGCGGAGTCTGCAGACGCTCGAGAGCCGCGTTGTCCTAGCGCGTGGAGTTCTTGCCTGTCATTGAGGATGGGCTCGCCGACCGCTGCTCGTGACAACATGAGCCTGATGATCGCCAAGGCAGGTGCTATTCTTTGCTTGCGGACCAGCTGTAGAGTTCTTGCGGTTCCGCTCATGCCGCATGCCTCATTCACATTGTCATAACCGCCTTCTCACGAAGGCCTCACTCAGGCTCAAAAGAGGTTCTTCAATCAGGCCCAGCGATCTTTTTGTAGCTCTTAGGTGTCATGCCTGATGAAAAGGGCAGCTGGCGCCACTGGTTTGCAGCAGGTGGCAAGCTTCACTGGCTTGAGAGTGCCCTAATATCTGCGCAGATTTTCGGCGTTCTCTTCGCACCACCTGCCTTGCAGAGCCTTTTCTGGACGAATGCTGTCGTCCAGCTGGGGATCTTCCTGCCTGTCGTCCAACTCCCAATTCTTCTGACAGGGAAAATGCTCTACGTTGACATTGGCTGGCCTTCTGGACTTGTTGCGGTTGGAGCAACATCGCTTCTGCTGGGTGCTGGGATGTGGGTTCGCAAATGCTTAATAGCTACGTGTTACCTGCTACATGGGGGTCGCATGGCCTTGGGTGCGCTGGTGATGTTTGGCCAGTCATCCAATTTCACCTATCGCTTTCAAGAAGATCTTCCGAGGTACCAGTACGCGAAGCATAAGTGGGTCAGCATTGAGGGCATGCCGGAAGACACCTGGTGGCTGAAGATGCAGTTGGACTCCTTTGGCCAGGGAATCTGCAACATCATAATTCTTTGTGTGCCTGCGTTCTTGGCAGCCAGCAATCCAGATGCGCACATCTCGTGGGTTGAGTGGCTGGGCTTCGCCATTTGGGCTGCGGCCTGGGTTTTTGAGAGCTTCGCGGACTACCAGAAGGTGCTTTTCCTGGAGGAGTGCAAAAGGCTTAAGAAGAGCGACGCTACGTTGGGGCTTGCACCATTTGACAAGTACTTCTTATGGTCTTGGTGCCGACATCCCAACTATTTCGGCGAGTGGTGCGCCTGGGTCGGTTTGGCAATAGCTGCCCTCCCATCTCTCCTCAACGAGAATGTTGTTGCGAAGCAAGGCCTTTTCATTTTCCGCATCTATATGGTGGGTTTGCTCATGCTCCCCCGAGTGCTATATGATTGCTTAGTGCATTGGACCGGTGCTGGCCCAGCCGAGCACTTCAGCGCCAAGAAGAGGGCGAGTTACCGAGAATATCAAGAGAAAGTACGTTGTTTTTTCCCGTTGTCGTTACCAGGCATAGATAATCACATGCAGGCAGGATGGCCGACGTTTGAGCCGGCAAATTAGGGCATTAGGATTCAGACAGCGTGCTTGGCCCTGGCTGAAAAGGTGTGCCTCTTTGACGTAGCAGTCCCTTTCAACAGGGTTCGTCAATCGGCAATTCAAGGTCTGAGCCGCTCTGCTGACAGGCTTTTGCATATTTTGACTCCAATGGCCTTGCTCTTGGTTCCGCCACAGCTCACATGTTGCCACCGGCAAGACTAAACAGCAGTGGTGCTAGACCCCGCTTTGAACAGCGACGTTGGTAAGTTTAGCACCGCGCACCTCCGTGTTGCATCGGAGGCACGGGGCCGAGACTACTCCGTGTTTTAGAGCCGTTAGCCACAGTGTGGAACAGAGTTTAGCTGGAATGTTGCAAAATTCATAATCCACGGGCGGAGTTTGGTTGTTTCGGTTCATAGAAGCAGGCGCCTGTCGCCTCAGCCGACCACTATCGAGCATATCCGACTGTGCAAAACCTTTCGTGACCCTCTGCTGTGTCGCTGAGCTAGCAGCTTCCACACAGGTATGGTCGACTCTGTTGGAAGACTGAGGCGACGGGGTCATCGACATCGACGAATGCACCTACATCCTTAGAAGCCTGGATCCGGTTGCTTGGCTTTGTTTGTTGAGCAACTTTCCTCGCGGAGGTTGCTTCTTTGTGCATGGACCCAGCAGGAGCCAGAGGTACATGCACGACACCATTGCCTGTGATGCCATATGGTGAGACGAACATTAGAGTGAGATAGCCTTTGCACATTTGCTTCACTGGTTGTGGGTGCTTGATCTGTTGGCATTGGCGGGAACCTTGACAGGCTTTCTTCACACAGGAGAAGGTGCGACAACTCGCTGCCCAGGCTGCTCAAGGGATGTTCGCCAACACAAGGGATATCGACAGAATGTGCATGTTAAACACGGTCCCACGCTTGCCCTGCGAGAGGCAGATGCGGACTCCGACGGTTACATACACTATGCCGAGCTGTTGACCAAGTATTATAGCACCGTTGCAGACGGAAAGCTAATGCGTTCAACTGTTGTGTACGTGTATGAGCTTGTCAGGTTCATTGCGTGGATCTTGGACTCAGACTCAGTGATGACCTCGCACCTGTCTCAGCTTTTTAGGCTGCTGGCGATACATTGTTCGGGTGCATGCGCAGCTCTTCGGACCATGCACGAGACAGTTGAATTGCCAAGGCGAGTGTTGGCGGCCTCCTCTTTTGCCCCATGGCTCTCAACAACGGGTTTGGCCGGGTGATTCGGACCGTAGAGTTGGAGAGACCGTTTTCCGGCTTTTCAGGCATCGAGCCGGCTGTACCGTAGCAAAGCAGGGCTGGTCTCAGCATTCCAGGGCCTGGATACTTCGAGGTTGCAGAGAGCATGCCCGACGGCATCCTGCCAGAGTCGCCTTTGAAGCTAGCCCGCGCCCAAGTGTGATCTTGTTACTTGGCAACCCCAATTGGGACGAAAAATCCTCCCCAGTCTCCACAGCTTGGCGCTATGTGTCTCAAGACTTGCTTATTTACGAGAACTGCCTCAGATCACTGAGGCATCGAGAGCTCGACCTGCGACCAGTGGCGAAATGTCGCGGTGACCTCAGCCGCTGCAGCCCATGGATGCTGTATGCTGCATATCATTACCAAATATGAGTAGCAGTAGTAGTAGTAGTAGTAGTAGTAATAGTAGTAGTAGCAGCAGCAGCAGCAGCAAACTATTATGACTTATGACTATAATGTAGCATCATTAGTCTTCAGACTGCATAGGGGGGATGTTGATGGATAGCACAGACCAAGGTTCTTCTGAGCAGCTAGAATTGGCGTGTGCCGTAGCTTGCCTTGGCCTTCTTGGGCAGACTGCGATGTCGTGATTGACGGCTGCATGCAAATCCAAGGTTCAATGTAGGATACACTGACGTCTTTGTAAACCCGCGACAAACTATGTTGGTTTGAAGGCCGGTTGACCTAAGTCGACCAGGATGTGACGGCTCGGAGTGCCGTGCCAGATGCCTTATCAAGGGCAATGGGGTGGTCAATGACCACTGTACGGTTGTTGGTTATTCCGAAGTTATTCTCATGGATTGCAAGCGAAGCAGGGATGCGCGTGCGAACCCGATGAAGCCCTCCACACCCCACAGACCACAAACCTTCACCAAGCTTCGCTGCTTCGAAGAATATTCCAAGCACAGTGGCAAGCAGAATTTGGCCAGCACGAGACCTGCTCTGAAGGTCCTTGTTCGAAAGGTTGCATGTTGATACCAACACCGAAGAACCGTCGAAAGGGCCCAGAAAGTAGTGAGCATGCTGCCGCAGCTGGCTTTTTGAGTTTGCTGACCATGTTGCTGAGCACATGCACAGCAATTGCACAGATGCTCTCGAATTCACTCCGTTGTCCTTACGGGCGCTACATGATTCCTGCCCGTGGGCAGCTCGAAAGATCAGACATGTCATCCTGAGCTGGCAGCACATTGACAGGATAAGGTAGCGGTCACAAGAGAAACGGAGGTGGTATGGTTTCTCTCCCGCCTTTTTTTTGTTCTCTTTCGCTCCCCTTCTTCTTTCCCCTTGGTCCTGTGGTCCCCTGGTCCTCTGGTCTTTTGGTCTCCTGGCCGCGCCTTGGTCTGCTCCTCTGGTCCGCTCAGTTCTTCCTGCCGGTTGGTCCCCTGCTTTGGTCCCTTCTCTGTTTGGTCCTCTCATTCCGCGGTTGCCTTGGTCCTCCGGTTTTCTGGGCCCCCTGGTCCCTGGCAACCCCAATCCCCGTTCGGCCGAAAGGAATAAAATAGAATCAAGGAAAGAAAGACCCTGAACCCTAAACCCTCCGACACCTATGGAACCTCGCCTGGTTTGTCCGAGTTGTGAAAGCGTAAACACTGAACCGAACAAGAACGAAGGAGAGAAAGAAACAGGAAGGCTATAAGTAAAGAACTAAGGAGCAGAAGAGAGAAATAATGATATACAGACAGAAGCAAAGATGCATTGAACAGAGAGAGAGGGAGAATGCAAGAACGAAAGACAGAAAGCCAAAGATGCAAGAATACAGAGATTATAAAGGTGTCCCATTTCTTTTCGGACTTCTTTTTGTTTTTGTGGGTTCCATGCATGGCTACTCTTTTCCCCTTCTGCCTGCTGCGTGTGCTTGCTTGTGTTTTTCTGCTTCTTTGTTCTTGGCTTTTCTGTTCCTCCGTGTATTCGCCTTTCCGCTGTTCTTTCTGCCTTCTGTGAAGGGCTGCAAGGCGATCTTGAAGCGCCGCAAAGCAAAGGGCATGAGCCATGGTTCCAACTCGACGGTGGCACTGCCGAAGGCAGCCTCCAGCTCGCAAGGCAAAGGCATCGCATCACGGCCTGTGCCTTCCAGCGAGGAAAGAAGCGTGCCGCAGATGCCCTAGAATCCTAGAACTCCTCCTGCACGGCATTGTGACCGAGCTCTCATTCCCTCGGTGCTCAGCTTCTGGGCTCGAAGTTGGAGTCTTCGGGTCGCGGCGTAGAGGCGCCTCTACTGGCCTCGGAGGAAAGGGCTTGCTGGTTCCAGAGCCGTACGGTTCAAGAAGCTCTCGATACCACGAAACCCATGAGCAGGATGCCGTCGGCACTGCTCTCGTCGGCGCAGAAAGACATCATTGGTTCGCAGCGTGGGGCTGAGACGGAAGGCGGCATTTGTGCAGTAGCATTTGCAGCTGATTGGCCGAGCACTTGGCCTTTGATCTGTGCTCCAAGGGCAAGAGATTACACTGCCTTGGTTCGCCAGGACAGCGACAACACGGCCCTGAAGTGACACGAGAATGTAGATGCACATGGCGAGTGTCCCCCTGTGCAGGTGAAGGACATCTTGCCACAGTTCAGCGACGACCAGGTGTGCGATGCCCTCGTGCAGTCGAACGAGGACAGTTTTTCAGTTGCTTTGCTCGCCGTCTTGGGCCTATCCAGCCTGATATCCTCAGGACATCAGCCGAGCGGTGGAGCTGCTCATGAGCCCAGCACATAGTCCCGCGCGATTGCTCTATCTGCCTCACGCTTGCACCGTATGGATACGATGTCCTTGCCTCACTGAGCTCGATGCATGAGGTCAGCAGCCCACCTCTAAGCAGTCCAAAAAGAAAGAGAAGCACAAAAACAGAGAGGCCAGGCTCTCGGAAGGTGCAAAAAAGTTGGCGATGACCTTTGCTTTCGTGTCAGCCTTCCAGGCTCGAGCGCAGGCCGAGGCCGTTGTGATGCAGAGTCTTTGATCACATGCTCACGAGATGAAGCTGGAAGACTGCATCGGTGAGGGTATGACGGGGATGCAAGGCCATAGGCGAAACTGTTCTCTACCGGCATCGGAAAGCTCGGAGTGTCCATCAATAGAACTGTCCAGCTCGCACAGGAAATCGGAGCTAGCAGCACCGGGAGTGTAGTGATGTGTAGTGATCGGCAGATTGCAGGCTGAAACAGCAGAGGCTGCCTTCGAGTCAGGGCCTTGACCTTCGAGTCCCACTGCGTCAACATCGTCACATCGCATCTGTCCGAGGGCTTCGGGACACGTTGAAAAGCAGTACGCAGACGACAGGGGCTCAGAACCAGCTCTGCGTGCGACAGGGCTCGACACGCTCGGTTGACTCGCTGGGTCTGAGGAGGCAGCCAACGAGCCCAGAGAAGAAAGGCCGATTCATCGCCGTGGAAAACTACATGCTGAGCGGAGCTGACCTGTATGGCCTTCGGCAGGCCTAAGACTGCAGCCGAAAAAGAGGCCAGGGCGGCCAGGAAGCCAAAGAAAGAAATGTGCTTTGAGCGCACGGGCCCTGAATGTGGCGCAGGCAGCCAAGCTGAGAAAGAAGCTGCGAGAGATAGAACGAATTGAGGAGCACAGCCGCAACATGCTTACAATGTCATGCAGTGCCAGTGAAGCCCCGTACGGCCAGGAGAAGGTTGCGAGGGGCGAGAAAGCCTTAGACTCAGCTCGTCCCTCTCTGTGTTCCCGTGCCAGCTGATCCTCGGACAAGCGAACGCTAAGACGTTCCTGTCTACTGCACTGCGAAAGACCTCCAAGGTCGACCCCTTGCAACTACCCAAGCTTGACAAGAAGCGAGAGGCTGGCACGAGCGAAGAGACATGAACCTGTCCAAGCTGCATAACGAAGTCGAACACACTTTTTTGCAACGCGTCCTCAGACCGAAGTAGAACTCCGCGCAGCAGAACACAAAATCCTCCAAGAAGAGGAGGCCAACCTCATGTGTGCGTGCCTCAATGACACTACCCGCGGCTCTGGGTGTGGCTTGCAAGGAGCGAAGACAGCAGGAGGAGCAGCTCAGGAAGCAGGAGGACTCCGCAACTGTTTGGTGGTGTTTCCTCTGATGCTACCTTGGGAGTTGGGATGCCCCCTCTGGATCGTCTCCTGCTTCTCCGTACCCGAAAACCCGAGGAGTGGGAGCGCCATCGCGAAGCGCAAGAAGCAGAGCGGCGGCGGCAGGAGCTCTCGAGAATTTAGTGAATTTCTTCTTGGGGTAAAAATACCTCTTTATTGGTACATATGGACATATGGTATAAGGACATACAACATATAATATCTGATATATTGGTTGCCGGCCGCTTCTGAGACATGTTTAGACATAAATGGCTACGGCTCAAGGAGGTCGCCGACAGAGGTTGCAGAGGTGGCACATCCTGTTTCCTTTGCAAAGCTACCACCACTTCCATGGTCATACAGAACGCACACCCAACTAACCCAACAGCGATTGGCACCAACACGAATTGAAGCAAGACATACCTACATCCTATCCTCAATTGCGATTCCTGATAACATCGCAGAGTAATTGCAAGCCGCCCCCAGCAACCCGGATCAACCTTAGAAAGGGCGTCCCTACGGCTAGTGCGGGATGTGTGTTTTAGGTGCTCCCAAGACAAGATACCAGCAAGGTCAAGATCAATTGTACAACGAACGTGCCGAAGTGTTTTGTGCGAAATTGGCAGCTGACAGCATGTCGCCGGTGCCGGTGTTATGCTATGGGCAGCGACGGCCTGCTACGCCGGCACTGAATCCGTACGGTTCCTGGGAGCAGTCGAACGACGCGCCTTTCGTGACCATGGCGCAATTCCAAGAGAAACAACTTGAGTGCGACGCGCTTCGCACTCGCATTCATGAACTTTGGACAGATGCCCAGATGCTGCGCAAAACGTGCAGCGATCTTCGACGTAGTTGGACTGACACCAAGATGCTGCGCCGACAGCTACACGTCCGGAAAATTACAGAGGCTGCCATGATGCGCCTAACAAGGGCAGAGTGCGAGGGCGGTACGGTGTGCGATGAGTCAAAGGACGACATGCACGACCTTTGTGTGACACCACGTGGTAACCCTGCCTGCGCAACGCCGAATCAAGAAGAGGACGTTGGCGTGTCTTTGTCTTCTCAGAGCACTTGCAGCGGCAACGTTGGCAGCTCTCCGAAAGAGGAGCTTCCAGACCCTGCATCTTGCAATGGTTCTGCTTGCGAGGAAGAGCCTGGAGCGCTCCGGGCCATGGGCGAAGTTGGCGAGGGGACGTCAAGTCAGGTTGAGATGGAGATGGAGGCAACGACGGAAATGCTTCCCACGGCTCCGAAGGAGACGTCGATAACTTCTGACGTCGTCGGTGGGCTGTATCAACTCGACAGGTTGGTCGGGGAGGGTTTCTACGCACAGGCTTTCAAAGCTACCGCAAGGGTGTGCGTCAAAAGGCACCGCCAGCTCGCGACTGAGGCCCTGGAACACTTGCAGCAAGTGCACAGCAGGCTGCAGGCCGTTGATCCAGGCAATGCATTTTTTCCCAAGCTCATTGATGCCTTCCACGACGGCGACGTAGGCTACACCGCAGAAAGTTTTCTGGAGGGTTGCACGTGTGCATCCTTGTCCACATGGTCCCTGGCGAATCTGCAGTTTGTCGCCTTTGATACCTTGCTGGGGCTGTCCGTGCTGGAAAGCGCCGGCGTGATCCACAACGACATCAAAGCTGACAACTTGATGTGGGTGCGGTCAGCTGGCATGGAGGTCATTAATATCATAGACTTTGGCTGTGCTCGACTGGAGGGTGGTGAAGCAGCTGGTCCTCGCAGCAGATGGCCGCCTGAAGTCTTTCTGGGTGGCCCTGCCATTCATAAGCTCGACATCTGGGGCCTTGCAGTGACAGTGCGCGAGCTTGCAGGATGGAAAATCAAGGCCAACACCCATGAGGCTGTGATGGCACAAGCCCTGAGTATTTGCCAGCCTGGGGCCGTGGACGAGGTGCTTGGTGAAGGTTGGCAGCTCTCTGAGAAGGCAGGATTGGGGCAGCTTAACATGGCCCTCGTTCGCCACCCTTCATTCTATCCGGGCAAGTGCCGCACAATTGCTGCAACTGATGCAGCAGACCCCATAGTCATGCTCCGCTGAACCCCGTAATGCAAATTCTAGATCAAGACCCTGATATCCGAACTGGAGCAGACTCTATATGAAAAGATGTCGAATTCGAGCTTTTGGCGGATTCAGGGCTGAAACAGGCCCATGAACGCCTTCGTGCCTATATTTGATCACAGTTAGCCACGCAATATATTTTCGATCAGAAATCGATAATTTGCTCCTTATAATAGATTTTTTGCATGTCGTGGTAATCGTTGAAACTGTGTCACTCAGTAGATCTGAAGTGGCTCTTTTGAGGGGCCGAAATGGCTGGTCTTTGCTAATTGTGTGGAGGCGTGCTGCTGTAGGTGTTCTGTTAGTCTCCCAGGGACCTCGCCTGAGCAATCGAGTGCGAGTGCCAACAAGACATGCATGGTCACATGAAAAGAGTGTCCCGCGCCACATCAGGAAGAATTGGCCAGCAGACTCTAGCGTCGCTATTGTCGTGTGTGGGATGCTGCATGTTTAGCAGAGGAGGGTGGAGGATGCACTGCAGATACGGGAGCTCTGGATGGGGTGTATACAAGTTTGCAGCTTCCCCATGAGGAAAACGCCTACCAGCATCAGGCCTATTGGATTTGAAGGGGGCGTGACGCAATCACTTGCAAATGGTTCTTTTATCTTTCTTTTTTCCCACAGGCTGCAGCAAGGATTCTGCCCGAGCCAGTGAGGCAGTATCCGCAGTATCCTCGGGAAGCCTTGTTGCGCACGATCTGAATTCTTTAAAAACCCCGTGAAGCGAAAGGTCGTGGTTAGTTTCCGGGGAATCCGAGATCGCCCAGCCGGCGTCCGAGGCCGGTGCATCACTAGTATGGAGATTCGAGGCTTTCTTCCATTCCTTGGCCTCTTCTCTTCGATAGGCTACGCCTGACCCGCATCAGGCCACCTTCTGTGAATTTGTACTTAGGCGTACTCCACATACGGTTCTGTCGTGTGTTTCATCGAGGGGCCGGTCAAGATGCTGATGCAAGTCTGCGCTGCTGGTTAGAAGAATTGAGTCCAACCATGATCGCCAGCACATGCGGAACGAGCTCCTGAACATGCTGCACAAAACACCTCAGGCAGCCTGCCCTTTGAAGCCTTGCTGAATGATCCTGAACGTGTCTTGGGGGGGAGAGGTAGCTTCTGTGAATTGTTGGTGCTGGTGCAGTTTGTGAGCCAATCTTGAGCTGGAAGGGATGCAACATCTGAGCAGGAAAGCAAGGGCATGGGCTTCACGCAGTCTGAGCAGACAGTCAGGGACTCGGCGAGGTGTGATTGATGACCGTTTGAAGAACTCTTTAGCCTGTAGCACATGGGACTCTCGGGCATCTTCATGGGTTCGATCGTGCAGACTCATGTACTTTGCTACGGATTTGCTCCATGCTGTGCCTCTTAGGCCAGCCACCTTGGTGGAGGCAGGAATCAGCAGATGTTCGTGTTGAGGTTTCCTCCGTGACTCGTTTCTGTTCGACACTCCTTGCTGTGATCGGTGATCGCACGTGTGGTTGGATCCGTTCTGCATCGGTTCAGCAAGCCGCCTGCTAACCGTGCAGATGACGAGAAGAGGGCAAAAGGCTACCCAGGATGTTGTTGTCGCTTTCACTGGGCTGAAAAGACCACTCAACTAATCGAAATAAAGAGAAACGAAAGTGGTGGTGAACGCGACGGACATCTCCCAAGTACGCCATGCTAGAGGCCGGTGGGCTTAGGCAAAGCTGTGGGAATCCTAAATTTGTGGGTGCTGGAGCTTCTTTCGGCAGGGTGCCTCCGGCCTCAAGCCCGGCACATCGACGAAAGGGGAGGATAAGGAGGAGTAGCCGAACTGGGCAACCCCCCCACGCGATCGCAGATGTGTGTGTCAATATGTGCGTACGTGCAGGCGTATTAGACTACGGAATGATGCGCACATGCTGCGCATATTATCATACTGCAAATATTATCATACTGTAAGACACAGTCTTAGCTGTAGTTCTAGGATGTTCTAGGCATCCTGGGGCAGCGGAGCCTCGTGTTGCATGCCGTCCAGCCGTCCAAGACAACGATGTTTCGACATGTTTCGACGGAGCTCCTGCCATTTGGCGCCTGGGGCCGGCTGCAGCTGCAGGCTCCTACACGAGGGGCCCGCCTCGGCCACAGCTTCGGGAGCATGCGTCACTTGCGAACAGGTTTGGCCATGTTGATGCATGCTCTGAATGTGTTTAGCACGAAGGCAGCAAACGAACGGCGAAAACTACCGTCACAGCTACAGGTTCAGCACCAAGCAAGCCACAGGATGTCAATGCCAGTGCTCGCTGCCTCCTGCTCTTTAACCTGAGAAGCGAGACTGAAACCATTCCGTTCCTGCCGAGGTCAGAACAGCAGGCACCAGAGTCTTGGGATGGGGGAAAGAGGGGCTGCGAATTTCCCATTAGGTCAACAGCTTGTTTTGAACAGGGCACCGTGATAGGTTGCAGTTTCTTGGCGCCAGGCATACCAGCGGCCCTACAGCCAGTACAACAGCTACGAGCACTATGGCCAGCAGTACGGCAGTCAACACTATGGAAGTCAGCAGTATGGCCACCAGCAGTCGAGGTGCGTGCTTCGTTTTAGTTGCGGTGATTTTGAGGTGAGTGCCAGTACAAATGCCCGTCTCTCGCAGGTATCACGACTGGAAACAAGAGGATTGGCGGCAGCGTGGCTCTTGGAACAAGGACCGTGGAAGCTCAGAACTCTTATTTAGCTGTTGTCTCGAGTCTAAAGTAAGATGCTGCTCACTCGTGGTACTGGAAACGAGGCAGAGAAGGGTCCCCCGTGAACGATTTTTCCTCGAAAACTGCACGATATCGGACCCTGTTTTGACGGAGCTTCAGAAGATAAGACGGTGAATGATTGTGTCGGGCGGTGTGCCGGTTCGGAGGATGGTTGTGTCGGGCGGCAGGATGTCTAAAGACGGTGAACGGGCTTGGACGTGGGTGGTGGAATGACGTGGGGCCCGGGTGGGGCGTGGACAAGGGGTGGAGCACGGGTGGGGCATGGAGTGGAGCGCGATAGCGGGTGCGTGGGTGGGGTGTGGACAAGGGGTGGAGCACGATATCGGGTGCGTGGTGAGGCATGGACAAGGCGGGGAGCTCGATATCGGGTGCGTGGGCAGTGCTAGCGAGAGGATGCGACTGCAGCGGCTGCCGCAACTCGAAGATAGCCACACGCGAGAAAACAAAATCGCACGGATGTCCATTCTTGCATCACTTTGTTCGGTTGGGTTTTCGGGTCCCCGGCTCGACCCTGTTTTCCCGGGCCTATCAGCACCTTCGGCGCTGAAAACAACATTGCAGTAGAGCTTGCAAGGGTTCCGCACTCATGGTATCAGATTTGAAGACTCTGCTGGAGTGTGAGTCCCGAAGCGACATATCCAAATCGTGCATGTCCCGTGTCCCATCGCAATGCGTCAGGAGGCCCCTCAAGAGAAGCCTCGACCAGAGCTTCCAGGCAAGACAGATGTGGAGCTGAACAGATGCGTATGAGCAGGGGCACGATTACGTCATGGTTCTTTATCGCACTGTCTGTGCATAACCGTTTGGTTTGCGAGGCATAGGTCAGTTCTAGCTCTGGCAATGTCTGGCAGACACCATGAGAAATTCCATGCTGAAGCCAATGCTGCAATGCCAGAAGATGAAGCGCCGAAAGCAGACTGGGCGAACCTCTACTCCACGTCCGTCAGCTCAGTTGTTCGCAGTACTCCTAGGCTGCTCGCATGTGGAATGACTCATGTACTAGTGACCGAGGCAGTTGGATATTTCCAGCATTCCGGCAGACAAGCGTGCCCGTGGCCCAGCCCCACCTAATGGTTTAACTGCAGACCGACAGTGTAAAGAACACGGCTTGAGTCTTGCGTCGTCTCTCCAACAGCGACACATGTGGGCTCGTTACCGCATTGCACGCTTCTGAGGCGGAGGCTGAGAGGATTGCCAAGGAGATTGAGCAGAACTCCGGCGGAGGCAAATCCTGCTCCTCATGCCGGACTTGACTTCAGCCCTGTCACTACGACACAATGCCAGGAGATGGCTGGGATCGCCCAGATGCAGGCCCAGGCATATGCCCGTACCAATCCTGCACCACACCTTAGCCCTCACATTCACTTCCCCTTTTTGCAGGCCGAGCGAACGGCAAGGGTCAGGGAGACTATGGTTTGCCTCTCAGCTGGCTCCAACATGGGGCGCAAGCACGGGGGAGCGGGTCTGGAAGGTAAGAGGTTGGGGGGCCACTGAAGAGGGAGATGGCTTGAAGATTAAGATGCCGACTTGTCTTTAAGGTTCCAAAAATGGAAAGAGCCACGGTCGGGAACTCAGTCGAAGTGGAATACGTGCAGCAGGTGAGAGCGCAAGTATCGCAGCACCTGGAGGCAAGGGCAAAAGCAAGAAGGGTAAGGGCAGCAAAGGGAAGGCCCCTTACTGGAGCAAGGCCGGTGTTGAGGGAAGCGGAACTAGCGGCTGACTGACGAAGAGGCGTCTTCCAGAGAAGTTGAAGGCTGTTAAAACTGCAGAAAAAACGTCAGGATGGGCCTGGCAGATCCGAATGGCAGCCCAAGCACGAAGAATGGCAGCCGAAACACGAGGATTGGCAGCCCAAGGCCGAAGAGTGGCCAAAGGGAGCAGACTGGGTGCCCCAGCTGCAAGTTGCATCGGTCTATCCGAGTCTATCCCAGTGCTCCTGCTGCTGCTCCGGATAGACTTGCCCTGACGCGACAGGGACCTCCGGGTTTGTAGCCAAGCTCCTGCAGGCAAGGACGTCCGCACCCTGCATTAGTCTGCGTTTGCCTGCAGCGAAGGAAGCACGGAAACTCATGCAAGCCTCTTGCTGCCGTGACAGCGCCAGGCGGCTGTGAAGTGTTCCACTGTGAGGCTTGACGGCCGAGTTTTCAGGCGCATGAGGATACCGATGTTGGGTTCTAACCACAGTCTCATAGTAATGATACTTTTTGGCGGCTTTCCGCAACAGTGTGTCCTCATGTGTCCGAGTCGCGTGACTGGCAAGAGCCACCTCTCCGTAGAAGCAACTAGCCATTGAAGACGTCATGCAGACTGCGATGGGCTTGGTTCATATCTATGTGACGCCGCTTCAACAGCGGTGTTCGTTCTATGCCGGTCACATTGTGATACTACGGCGTACTCGCATATCCGCGGTGACTTAGCCCCAGAGCCTGAGAGCGAGAAGGAGCCCGGGACCCTCTCAAGACGACGCCGATGCACAGACACAGACACGGCTACATGGCAGGGTCTTCCTTCGCCCTTGGCCAACTGGGCGCTGAGGATAGCCGGTAGCTCCAAGAACCGGTAGCTCTCCGGAAGATGCTGTCGCAATTGCATCAATGAAAGTTTGCCACCGCACTTCCGATGTGAGTGGAAAGGAGAGCTGTCGCAGAGTGACGCGGCCTTCATCTGCAGGGCAGCTGTGAGCAAAATTGCTGACTGAAAAAGGATCGCTGTCTCAAGCCGACTTGCTGCCCTGAAGCTTCATCCGATCGTCCTACTGAGCTGATGCTGGAGCCAGAGGCTCGAGCGGCCTGGTCCTGGCAGACACAAAGTCCCAGAAGCCCCGTCGAAGCACATCGCATCGTGTCACATCCCTTCCTGGGTTGCAAATCCTTTGGCTGGCCTCTTGCCATGCAGTCATGCGGCTGTTCGGAATATGGTGGCACCTTCATGTGCCGAGGGTGCATTTAGCAACTTCTTCCGAACGTTGCACGCTTCCAGGTCTCCGCTTCACAAATCATGCAGTCGAAGCAGTTTTGCGACCGTTCTCTTGTGAGGAGCGGCTCCACTCTGACGTTTCTGTGAGCCCGTCTCAGGCAAGCCCGCTGTTGTTTGATATCGCCTGTGGCTGGAACCTGGCTACCTCTCGGCATTCAAGGGTGAAAACAGCCCGTAGCCTGTGCTGCTTCTTTTCGGCAGGTATATAGGCAGCGTGCTTGTTGCGTGGCTGCTCTAAGGTTTGTGAATCGTGCCAACAGTACGCCCCTGTGGTGCACGAGATCCTCTCCTCCTCCAGTTTCCGATCCGAATTAGTGCGAAGCTAAATGCAGGCCTACAGCTCTAGAGCCTCGATTGGGCAAGCCCTTCAGCGACCAGCTCGAGGGAGAAGCGTGCTTTTCTTGAGGCTGTTACTACGAATCCGAGAGGTTTGCATTGCATCCCTCAAAAGTGCACTTCATTGCTCGAAGGCCGCACTCTGCCATCTCTCGACTCTCACTCTAGTTGGTCTGTCAAGTTTTAGTCAACCTCACGACGAGCAAGATGATAGATTTACGAAAAATACACTCACAGCCTGGTAAAACACGGCGGGTCGCTTCCGATTCTTTAACCAGCCTGTGCACAACAGGCTGCTGTAGATTGTGCCCTCCAGGTTCTTGGCTTGGACCATCGAAAAAATCAGTGCAACGTGTAAGATGTCCCGATGCCGGGGTTGAATACCGCCCGGTGTGCCGCCCTTGTCCAGAGCTGTCAGGTTGTGAGACGCTTCGCCTTTTGCTCCAAGGCGTCGACGGGCTTACTGAAGACGCCTTGCGGCAGACGCTGACTTGGCGTTTGGAGGCCTTGTGGAGGGGTCGAGCTTTAGGGCCGACGAGTGTTTGGATCGCCTTGTTACTGTTAGGTCTTCTTGTGAGTGTAGACTTGGGAAATTCAGCCAGGCCAGTTCCTTGTCAGCATGGTGCGTAGCTACTCTAATGTAGTGGTGAATTCGTAATGAGAATCCATTCTGGACGCTACTTTGGTGGCCAAAGGGCAGACCTCCCGCCGTTGCAACATGGTCTCCCGAGGCATGTTCATGCCTCATTCGGCTGGGTCCGGGTAGTGCTGAGCAAGTGCCGGTGATGCCAAGCCATTGAAGTGTGGTGGCGAGTCGGAACTCCAAAAAGACAAAGCTACCCATTGTACTGTTGCCGAAGGCGGCCGCAATCACGAACCAGGATGTCGTGGAGAGGTGCCAGCGATTTCTGGCAGCAGATCGCCATATTCTCGTGCGACTTTGGACGCTCGAACGCGACGTGATCCTTTTACTTTTACTCTTCTTGAGGTTGTGCTTTCTGTTGTCCCAGTGGTCGTAAACGCACGAACGGCTGCAGTAGAACGAAGTAGAAAGCAGTAGTAGCAGTAGCCCATAGTACTCTTTTGTGTTAGTCGTCGCCGTGATCGTGGATAGCCGTAGTAATCGTAGTCGTAGAAGCGGAGGCAAGGTAGCAGCAGAAGGAGGTAGGGGTGTGAGGAGGATTGGTTTGGGTTCCTACGGTAGCCAGGGCATGACGACAGGCCTGAACGCACCACAGCTCCCAACTCCCCCAATATTTTGCACGGCACTTTGCCAGGAAGGGGAGCCGTGGGAAGGAGCTGGATTTGCACCAGGTTCTTGAGGAGTTGTGTGTCCAGCGGCTGCGCTGTCCTGTGGAAGACCTACGAGGGCCAGGTGGCCTTCTCTTGACCTGGGTCAACCGCTGTTTCCTTTTCTGTTTCTTCTTATTATTGTCAAAAGGTAGTCTGCTTCTTCTTTGCATAGGCAAGGCAGGCCACGACAGTTGATGGCAACGGTTGCTGGGTGCTCCGGTGAGGCCGGCCTTCGACAGAACGGAACGGCATGCCTTCGAGCAAGCCAGCGGCAGACCTGGAAGGCGGCAGGCCGAAAAGCACACCAAGGACTCCTTGTCAAAGCTGCTTCAGCCGTTTGGGCTTAGCTGCTCAGCTGGGACTCTTTGCCAGGCGTCGAAGAAAGCTCTGACAAATCATGTTCCCACGTCTCCAGGACTGCCTATGAAGACCTCTTGTCAGCTCACCAAGCTGTAGCTGGTTCCTGGGAAGCAAGCGAGGCGAGAGTTTTGACGGTAGCTGAGCAGAAGCCGGACAGAAAAAGACCCAGGTGCAGCATCAAAACGAGGGTGTTTCCTGGTTTTGCCGTGCTTCACTTGTAGTGTGGTGCTCATGCCGAACGCCTCCGCACGACAGGCTACATGTCACAGCACAAGCTGCAAAGCGGATCTCGAGGTTGCGCGTGCTTCGTGCCTACATGATGTGGAGTTGTTCCTTTTGGAAACATTTGTTTGCCTTTGAAATTGTGTGCATAACTCCGTCGCTTTTCAATAGATCCCCTTCAGGATGTCACAAGCTCGAAGGTTGGAGGCACGGGCTGGGAAGTGCCTGAAACACCGCCAGATCCATTGAATCCTTCATGTCCGGTCCGGAAGGCGGGGTTTCGGAATGTGGCGTCTTGTGTGGGTAGCTAAGTCGACGGGTGAGCTTGCCACAGGATTCGTACAAGGACCTCCAGGCAGTGAACGTGGTTGTGGTAGTTTTCTCCGGAAGACGAGACCGCATGCGCATCCTGATGCGCTATTTGCGGCGCGATCTTCGAAAGCATGGTGGTGTGGTTGACAAGATCGTGTTCGCTTTGTGGCAGTACACGGCAAAGGTCCGGGGACCACAGAAAGCCGACGTTTGCAAGCCTTCAATACAGGTCTCACAGCCTGCTCACGCCAAAACAGGACCTTTCATACATGAAAGAGCTGGTCAGCTCCCCTGACGGAGCTGATGGCATCTCGGCTGAGACCCAAGACAGGTTTGAGATGTTGTGAGGTGCGGAAGATACAAAATCGTTGCTGGCTTGTCTTCTGAGTCTGGTACTGTTACAGTTACAGCTCGCCACCATAGGAACTTTCGACATCCAAGACTTCTCCGAGCAGCGCTGGGGCCGGTCTCGCATTGATGCCGACCCGATCTCAAATCGAATGGTCCAGCTTTACAAGAGCATGAACGAGACAGACACGGTGTATGTGCCGCTTTTCCAACTTGGCCCACAAAGCACCTTCAGGGCAGAATATGGTTATAGCACAGACCTGCACAGCCAAGGGCAAGTAACCATGTCCTCAGAATGTCTGCCCAGGAAGGTTGACGACGACGTGGTTTACGTTGCGGAACATGCGATTGCAGAATTAGTCAGGGAGAGATTGCGAAAACGCTGCCTGCTTGTGTCGGCCAATGCCTGGAACTTAGGCTTGGGATTTCAAAGGTCCAAAAGATAAGCACAATCTTGCATGTGTGTATATGTCTATGTACACATTCTGAAGCTCAGGTGGTGAACCATGCCATCATGTCGGCCCCTCGCTTGGCATTTCCATGGGTGGATTTCTGCTGCAAGGCACATTCAGGATTCAATTAGTTCATTGTGTCGAAACCTGTTGATGGTTGTGTGAAGATGAAGAGAACGAACTTGTCGTTGTTGGTGATGATAACGATTGTGGGTGATGGCGGCGACGTCGATGACGCAGCTGGTGTAGTCGGATGTGGTGGCTGCTGCTGCCGCTGCCGCTGCTGCTGCTGCTGCTGCTCTCCTCCTGAGGCTTTGCACCAAGACAGGGGCGCTCATCGGGGCTTTTGGCCAACGGAGGTGGCTACTACACCTGCCAGCTAGAGCTTTTCCGCGTGAGTTCCGGGCAAAGTCATAAGCATGGCTTGTGCAGAAGCAGGCTCACTTCAGCCCTACAGCCACCTGCAAGGAGCAGCAAAGAAACCCTGTTTTGCGGCTGCCGTGGTCAAAGAAGGAGGCCAGAAGCTGTGGATAAAGTCAGCATGACCTTAATAAGATGGTAGAGGGAGGCTCACTGTTTTCACTTCCACTGCGCCTGAGCCCTCGCCTAGATTGTCCGAGTTGTGAGAGTGTAATAAGATGGGAAGTATGCCCTGATCTGTCAAAGGCCTTAGCGGCTTAGCAGTGACCCTGAAGTTCTTTGGCTCGCCTGAGTCCGGGAGATCTTTGGAATTCAAGATTCTTGCTGGCGGGGCCCTGCTGCGTTGCCGATTGCACCATGTTTGTGTTGGCAGAATTCCCATAAGGTAGAACGTGTCGAGACGGGCTTTGGGCCGCAAACTTGCCCCCTCAGTCATCTCTTTCGTTGTACAGGTCTTGGAATGTGTTGGACATCTGGTTTGCAAGAAGCTCGAGCTTGGTGGCCATGAGTTGACTGTTCAGTTCTTGTTTCCTGGTCTAGCCTTCCGTACTCTGAATTTGCAAAGCCGGACTGGGCGATGGCTGTGTCAATGTGTCCTTGGACCCACGTCTCGCGCCAGCTCTTCAAGCAGAGTGTGTTGATAATCCTACTACAATATGCGGGTTACAAGGGGAGAATATCGCTACCTGTTCCTACCCCCTGAAATCTGAACTTCAAGAGTCGAAGTGGCAAAAGCATAACCTGTTCGCAACACGAGATAGGGCGATGAATTCCGGCGATGTTTTCGACAGGAAATCAACACGTCTCCGGACTTCCAGATCGAACGCATTCTGGCTTGACCTGTGATGCTTAGCTTGCTGTGGTTTCCACTCATTGGAGCAAAAGATGTGCTGTTGTTGCTTTGGCTTGAGCCGTATTTGCCTTATAGTCCGTGTGGGCCCCCCTAGGCTTCCCAGCCTCACGCTGCGTGGTGGAGCGTTGGGACTGTGCTGCTCTGGTCCACGAGAGTTGCTTCCCGGCACTGTGACTGCCGTGCTTACCTTTGCCATTGGCCTTGCGCGGATCAGGTTTCTTGGACCGCTCTGCAGACAACACCCTGCCTCTTGAATGCACTTAAGAGAGAGCTCGCCTTCGCAGGATGAGGAAGAGGCATGTTTCATCGCCAGCATCGCCCTGGAGCCAGGTGCGTGTTCGATTTCGGTTGGCACGACTTCAACCGCTTGGGCTACAGAGAACACAGGTGTCCTGCCAGAGCCACTTCTTTCGTCTTGTGTTGCCGATGTCACGAGAGCTGTGTGGAGCTTTCGGAAGTTGTCGCTTACCAATTCACTGCAATATAGTAGAGAACCGCGTCAAAACGCGGGACCTTATATGGTTACCTTGTCGTGGTTACCTGGGCATCTAACAGTGGTTGAGGTGGGAGGAGAGGCTGGGCGGGCCCCGTGACCATCAAGGAGCACCCCACCTCCCCACCTCAGCTAATTGTATGGTGGGGCGGGGGGCCCCGTTAACTAAGGCCCCCCCCCCCCCACACTTTCATGTAAAATTAAGGTCGTTGGTGTCTGGTTTGCTTGCCCTAGCTTCCGTGGCCCTCTTGTCAAGTGTCTTTTTCAGTCGCGGTGGCTTCTTCATGCTGTGTGAGTACATGGAAGTGCCTCGCCTCCTTCGCAGGTACATACACAGATCTCCAAGCGTCAACAAGGAGTACTGGACACAGGGGGCAAGGTGGAGCACAAACTTCTTTGCCTTCAGGGCAGAAGACCTGGATGGAGTAAACTGGAGTAACGTGCGACTGGGCAGAAACCAATGCGAGTTACAAGTCTGTCTTGTGCTTGTGGCTTGTGCTTAGCTGAGCTCGCAGGAGGTGCGGCCAAGCGACTGTAGTAGTCCAGAACAGCCTAGCTCGGAGATTCTTAAGCTGGTGCATCCGTGTGGGCTTGAAGTCGACTGAAAGAGCCCTGGATGGGCTTCCGAACTGCGAGGCATGGCAAGGGTGACGATGAGGAGGAGTTTACTGGGCCTCACTCGGAAAGAAGAGCGGCTTGGTCACTGCTGGTAGGACGTCCAATTCGAAGCATGTTGGAGCCGGCAAGTGATCTTGTGGCGGATGTAATTAAGGACCGACACTCTTGCGCAGTTGGCGCGGCGTTGGTGGTGCACTTCTCTTATGGGTCCCAGGCTCGGATCTAGTTTGCGAGGGCCAAAGGCGGGAGGTCCCCAGGCAGTTGAGTTTTGCAGCGTGCAGCTTTGCAGAGAAGTTGGCTCGGATAATCGCGCTTTGATCTGATTTGAGTCTCTCTGCTTCACTCTGTGTTGCAGGAGGAAGGTTTGATGGCCTACACGAACTTGTCAGCTGCCTAGTTCGCGCCATCGCTGCCCTAGCTAGGCAGCCAGGCCTCCGTCAAAATCGACCGCCTTGTTCTTTAGCCTGCACTAGAACGTGCAGTGATCGGAATTCTGCTGACCGAGCCTCAGGCTGAAACGCTACGACAAGTTGTCACGGTGCATTTGGAAGGCTCGCGCCCGGGGGGCTAAACTCGAATCGCCGAAGGTTAGGGTGCTTGGTCGGGACCGCCTCGGGCTGCTGTGATCCCTGCCAAGGCTTCCAAGCCAGATGCACCGGATGCGTCGCGTTTCAAAGTCGAGAAAAGTGAAGCAAGCGCGGCTCCAGGGGTGTCGGTTGTGTAGGACGTGGACAGTCGCCAGCTCCTCGGCCCTTGCACTGCCTTGCATGGGGTTCGCAGCCCGCTCAGTTCTCGGGCCGGGACAGTTGCTGACCCATGCATTCTACTACTTAGTAACTTACTAGTATCTAGTACCTAAAGGCTCATATATGATAAATGCAATGTGCGAGGAATTCACTGGCAGACCTTGCCGCAGCTTCGGGTTGCAGCTGGCCGAAGCTTGTTTTCTCATGAAACCATGGCTGCGCAATGAATACCGGGGACGCTGGCTGGTGCTCGCGGTCAGTGCAATCGTCCCTTGATTGCACACGGGTATCAATCGTTGATCTGCCTTGCCAATGCATTGGATTTGCAAGGGATGGGATCCTTTCACAGTGGCTTTGCATGGGGCGCATAGATTTTTATGCATGGGCAGGTTCAGGCCAGTTTAGGCCGATCGTGGCACGAATCAATGTCCAACAATCCGGGACACGTCCACACTTAGGTACTCCTATGGTTCCGAGGCCAGGCTTGCCCGCGCTTTCGCTCGACTGACAAAAGCATTGCGAGAGATGTGCAGGACGGCTTTCCCGATCCGAACATGACAGCTGGGACACGTACGAGCAGGTAACCGGCGATTGGCTCCACCCATTCCGAGCCAGAAGAGGGACACATGCTTGCAAGTCGAGCCCGCGAGCCCTGAGTCAGTATGATTCAACTTGGCCAGATGTATGGCTTGGTTGCATCATGTTTGTACACTAGCAAACCTATCGTGTTGTCAAAACAGGCCAACGGTGTTTATTGGATTTCGAAAATGTGCATGAACTGCGCATGGCTTCTCATCCATACATAGCAAGGCCGCGCATCACACAGCCAAGGACAGCGCTTGTTCAGTCGGTTGTTCGCGTCCGCGCCTTCGACGCCTTTCGGCCCTGGTCCCGCTCGCATGGCTCGGGCTTCCTTTGGGACCACAACGGCCACATTGCCTCTTGCCAGCTTTATTCGGGCTTGGTTTTCAGGAAGCATATATCCAAGACAGGGAGCAGCCGAAACAACTTATAACTTATGAAGCTTCGGTCCCAGGTCACCAACTTTCACGTTGTCCAGCATGCCTCATTTGTCTCCGTGCACTTCGCCGATGGTCTGCAGTGCAGAGCCAAGGTGAAGGCAAGCTTGTTCTTCAGACTCTGCTACTAGTAGCTATATACGGGAGCAGCCTTGAGCAACCGGTGAGAATCCCGGGTGCCTGATGACCGAACAGCAGGACTCGTGTGTCAGTTCAGCGCAGAGTCGTAGACGGATCGTGGAACTTTTGCAAAGAGCCTCAAGTTTCGAATGAGCCCCTGCATCTGTCGGAAGGCGAGATGTGAACCTTGCGACTTGGCTGTGCTCCAGGTCCTGCTCGACAGCGGCTCGGCATGACATGTCTTGACGAGTTGTTTTCGCAGAGCTTTTCCATGAACGAAAACTTGACCGAGGCTGCTCCGGCTCGGATCTGCAACTTCCACCGCCGTGAGGGCCTCTGACGAACCACTTGAAGCACTTTTGCCATTAGATGCCTCCTTTGACTTCTGGGCAGGTTGAGGCTTGCGCGACACGGCCCGGATCTGGGGGCCAAAGTGGCGGCAGTGGGTCACCCGGAGCACTGGGCCTGGCTGCTCGGCTCACTCTGATTCTTCGTTGATGGCTTTTGCTGCTTGTCGGGTCACAACAGCAACGCCCAGGCTTCTGGGCGTGGGCCATGTCACTGGAATCGGTCGTCGCAGCTCCCGTGCTGTGCAGCGCTTCCGGGCCTCTTGGCCTATCTTGGCCTAAACCCCTCACCAAATGCCTGCCTTGCGCGAATGTGTGAGTCGAAACCCCTCACCAAAAAAGTGACTACGGGAAGCCCGAAATCAGGTCTGGGAAGTTGAGCTTTTCGTAGACAAGGGAAGCACGGGGAGCTATGCAACTAACTCCATCTAACAGTCTGCCTGCTGCGGGCTGTAGAGTCCGCTTCCCGGCCAGCCCGTCAATTCGCTACTTCTCCCCCGCCCAAATTCAAAATAGCCGGCGACCATTTGCGAACAATGCGTGTTTCTCACGCAGCCACATGGCTCGAATGCATACCACGTTTTACCGAGATGTGCAGCGGACGTGGTGAGGTAGATGAAGAATCGGACGGGAAGCATGTGCGAGGGTACTGCCGAGGCTTTCTTGAGCGAGCTCGAAGCCATTGTTTTTGGTGGGGATGAGGGTCGCCGGGCGAGTGAATGTTGGCAACATTTGCATGCGGCGAAACCTTCGCGCAAGCTTGTGGGAAGGTTATTGCCTCTCGCAGGTGCAACTCTATTCACTTGTGTCCCAGTTTCTGAAGGTGCACGTGCTGGTGCAAATCTTAGCGATGGCAGCGCCATTCGTGGGTCTGGCGACCGACGGGGGCTCGTTGTCCCAGCTCTCAGATCAAGCTTGCTCATCGAGTCCCGCCAGCAGGCGGCAGATGCTGCAGTCCTCGCGGCTGTGCCTTGGGCTTCTGTCGAAAGCAAGAAGATTGCGAAGAACTGTCTGGAGACCTGGCTGGCCGAATGTGGGAATGAGCCCTCAAACCCAAAGCAGAAAGCTCGAACTGGAGGCGTGGCGACTGCAAGTTTGCATGAGCTGCTGCCCCAAGCTCTCGCCGCAATAAGGGCGCAACTTCCTGCGTTCAACCCAAGCTCGGGCGGGAGCACGAGCCTGTCGGTAAGTCTGTCTGTTGCAATCGTGCGTGGTCTCCATTGGTTGATGCAGCAGAGCGACTACCTGGTTCTCAAAGACCGACGCATGGATCAGCACTCATCGACACGCGTATCACGCATATTCCTTAGTAAGGCTTCACTATACGGCTCTGTAAGGTGGTTCCTGAAGCAGTCCTGCTGCCGTGCCGCTGTCCCCCCGAGGACTGGGCCTGGCTTTGCCTTTGATTCTCCAAGTCCTGGACCAGACTTCAGATCAAGTGGTCCGGCTCATCGCCTGGGATGCCCTGCATTTGATGCTGGATCGTGCCCTGGCAATCGAGGTGCAGAACTTTCGACCACCTTTGCAGCATGTCTTGGAGACTTGTTCTCCACTCTTCCTGGATGAGGAGATCGCATGCCTCGCCGTTGCACCTTTCTGTGCTTCGAGCGTGCTTTTCCTGCTCAAAGCTTTCAGCCGTGATTGTAAGTTAGATCGCAGCAAGAGCTTGGACTCCTTGCTTCGCTACGGGAGCCTCCACTGCAAGCCCAACTCGCGTGCGTTCGCGCTCTTCTTGGAATTTGGACTTTTGCCGCTCCTCGCCCGGGAAGCTTGGCTGGTTGCACCGCACTTGCGCGAAATAGCAGAGCTCCTGCTCCAGAGCTGCGAGGGAGGCAACGCCTTGGAGGTGTTGCTGGCCTGGCATGCCTTGCTGCTTCTGTTTGGAGGAGAGCTCCAAGCCCGTGTCAAGAGGCCCAGTCGACCGACACAAAACGTAAATGTTCGCATTGTGCAGCCGTCAGTTCAGTCCTGCAGGTATTTTCAGGACATCCTTCTGCGCATGGCCTTTACCTACCTGACCTTCTTTGCATCCGATCCGCCTGAGGGTCTTCAGCAAGAGCCTGCGACAGGACCGGCAGTTGATCCTAAGTGCAACCTGCTCCTGTCAGCAGTTGCAGTTCATGCATGTCTATTCCAAGAATTCATGCACGGAAGCTCGGCACAGAAGTAATGGCAGACGATGCTTCTACCTCTTGGTGTTATGTGGCATAGATCTTGGCAGGAGGCTAGAGGAAAGCTCAGAATTAGATGTTTCCTCCAGCTCCAGAGGCTGGAACTTCCAACTTGGCTCGGCCTTGGATTGTGGCGGGTTCTTGTGCCGGTTACAATTCTGGGTGTTGTATCGCCACCGCCAGCCGAATCGTTGCCATATGCTTTAGTATCGCATCCTGCGATTTGGGGCAGTTCACGCCGTCATATCTCCAAGTAGGGCTGGTGGTCGCTTCAGGATCACATCCTTCGGCCGAATCCGATGTGAAAGCATTGAAGAACTGTCTATAACAGTCTGTTGCATCCACCTTTCATGTGGTCCGAGCCTGCATTCATTCGGGTGGCCCGAGTTTGGATAGCTGGCATGGCAACTATGCGCGAAGGGCAGAGAGCATGCATCCTACTGTTTTTAGGGGCCTTCGCTTTGAGCACCTGAACGTACCTCTGGGAAGTTCTGCGCAGGATCTGGGAAGTTCCTGTCGCCTGTGACTGCTGCGATGACGGCAGCGGAGTGGACAGAGGCCTTTGGCCAGTGCGCAGGGCAAGCTTCTTCTTGCTGCATCGCATGTTTCCTCAGTATACTTAGAAGTCAGCAGCTGCAAATTCGAAGCATGATCTGGGAGGTTGTAAAAGAAACATCAATGAACTTACTCGACACTTCGAAGCGTCAGGTGTCTTGCAGGAAGGACGAGTTGGATGTTGTACTTCGCGATGTTGCACGAGTGTTGGCAGAGGCGAGCTCTCCAGTCAGCCAGTGTTGGGACTTGGGTTGCTTGGGGCAAATGGGAGCCTTGCTTGCTGCAGGCCGATGAGCCGGGAGGCGCTCTTCTGACAAGGCCAAGCAGCCCATCCTTCAGATGTCACTGCAAATGTTTGCGTGGGAGGGAAGTGGGACGTTCGTTCAACTTCGCTGGGCTTGACATAGTAGCAGCCCTGAAGAAACCACACCAGCAAATGCAACTGCATGAATCGGACGGAAGACCGACTCAGACAGACCTGCCTGCGAGCACTTTCCACTGAGGGCTTTTCTGAAAGGTGACGTTGAGTTTTTGGTACCTCGTACCCGGCAGAAACAGGCACATGTTTGAAAGACTGCTCGAGTTCCCCCTGGCAACACTTGTCGAGAATAGTGTTCACAAAGATCTTGCACAAAACAAGTATGTGGCCCTCCCCTCTCCCTTCTAAAACAAAGCGAGGGGACAACATGTGCGCAGACATGGACAACAGCAAGAGAATCCCACAAGAAAGGAGCTTGACGGAGCTGACAGCATCGACGTCTCTGCCTGTGCCATCGGGTGGGGCTGAAGGTCTGGCTCATCGACTCAAGGACGACCTGTCACCTTAATCACGGCTAAAGTGAAGCCCGATTTCAGTGACTGTCGGAAGGACTTCGTCCTCTTTGTCAAGGATGCTGTGGGGTTAGGTGAGCAGGAGATGCGGGAGAGAGGAGCAGAGGCGAAAACGGGAGCTGCGCCGCGCTTGCTTGACATTGGCCTCTAGGCCCAAGGCATCCGTATCACTTCATGCTGGACTGCTTTGGAACTGGAGGTTGAGGCCAAGACACGAGATGCTGAGGCGCTCCAGGACTTCCAGGAGCGGTGCTCAGTCGATGGCATCGTGTTTGCCTCGGTCGCAGCTGGTCATGGCAGCAGCGGTGGCCCGCTGCTGGATTCCCATGGAGCCACCCTGCCTGCAACCGTGTTTTGGGCACCTGTACGTAAGTTTCATATCTGCCACCAGGCTTGTCTTTTATATGATGCTTGACGTGGCCGTCAGAGATTGTCATAGCAGACTTCGAAGCGGCAGGGCAGGCTAGTTTGCAACGCTACCTTGCAGGTCCGCCAGTACATTTTGACCGTGACGAAGCCCGAGCCTCCAAATGTGCAGTCACAGTGAGCTGCCGCAGAGCACATTAAGGATGTCACTGGCGTGATTACCTGGCAATTTTCGGGCTCACAACCTGTGGTGATTGCAGCCATCAGCACGTCTGTTGTACGACAGGCGGCATGGCGGCATCGAACGTGTAGTTCCTGATTCTCTTTGCATCCAGCCTTGCTTTGCATCCTGGCAAGGTGGTACCGCAGCTCATCTCTGAGGGCAGCTGCAGCCTCCCTCATGCAGGTGCACATGGACCTGACGGAAGACAAAAGCGGCGAGGGGGATGCTTTCCACGGTTCAGTTGTCGATCCCGGCTTGGGTAGGTATTTTGTTTGAGGTTGCCCTCGTCAGTGCGGGGCGGAACATGTCTTGACCTGCTTCCTTGCTCACCGCCTCTCCCTCCCTCTCAATCTCCGTCGTGTCATGTTCTCTCCGTCCCAGTTTGTTGCTACGTCTGTGTTTTCGACCGGTGCTCTCGTGTCGAACCTGTAGAATTCGGCAGCTGCGGCTGAAACATGCTGTCTGAGGGGTCTTGTGGGAGCCGGGGAAGCCAGGCATGGTGCAGGGGTTGCAGTCATCAGCGCTTGAGCGGCCAGGCATCGAAGGCCGTATGGGTCCTGCGCGACTCACGGCTCCCAGCTGGAGAAGCAACGCCTATCTGGGGGTCAAAGCAGACGGAGTCAGGTGCATTGCTTGGCCATGATGCAGACGGTGTTGAGAAAAGCAACCTTGAGATTTGTGTCATATGTGTCAGTAGAACTTGAAGCCGAGCATATCCTCTCCAGGCTTTGGGGCTTGCCCTCCCGCGAAGCGCGAGATGCTGGCCTTCGGTGGTCGCTTGTACTCTCAGGTTTTTGTGCATGTTCAGTGCATGGTTGTATCAGTGGCAGGACACAGTTAAATGTCGGTGTGGGCTGCTCTCAGACGGCAATGTGCGGTTACGGGTGACCTGAGGTTGGATGAGATCGTAGCTGTTGGCAGAGCAGACGAGCCGGTACATTCCGTTGCTGATGTTCTTCATGCCATACAGGCCTCGAGCTTATGGAGGGCGACATATCATCACCAAAGAGCTCAGTCAGCTTTAACCATACTTCTGTAAGACTTTGGCCAGGCGCAGCCTGACTCACCCATGCCCGTCCGTTTACGACGCTTTGGTAGCGAACACACCGCAGAGCTTGCGCGCCTCTGAGCTTTTTCTCCTCCGACACGGAAGGTGCATGGGAGGCAATCAGCTGTCATATATTTTCTCAGGTTCGTGATGTGCCGCGAAAAAGATCGCCACTGCTCATCCGTCGGATGGCGAGTGTCGGTGCGCGTGGGTTGATCGTGCTGAGGCCCTCTGTAGTCCTGCGGTCGACATAGCAGTTACGCAGGCAAGGACACGCCAGGCCAAAGGCGAGGGTGAAGAGACAGGCTTCATATGGCTTCATCACGCAATAAGGTCAGCCTATGTTTCTTACCCTCAAGAGGAGAGATCTGCCGGGATAAACTCATCCTGAAGTCTCAACCAACGAGAAGGCTGAAACCCGCAAATCGTCGGAAGTCCGAGCTGTAAGTCGAAGTCTGCCAGAAATGTCAGACATCCATTGGTTTTTCAACGTGTCACAGTGTCTCACTGCGTGTGATCAGCCTGTTCTCCAGAGTCGAAACTCGGAAACGCACCAGAGTTGAAGTCAGGGTGCTGCGCAATTATCGACGTCTACTATTGGCATTGCAGAAAGCTGCTGGGCGAACTTGAAGGAGCTGTGAGGACCAGACTCAAAGTCGGCAGTCTAAGGATGCTGGCAGCTTCCAGGCGTCGCTGCAGACCTTCCGCGAGTGACCGGGCACAAGTGACAAGAAGGCGTCACAGCCGTAAGTTCAGCTGCACGCAGAAGTGTTGAACCTAGGACAGGCGGCTTCAACGAGAGTGCGGTGCCCGAGGCGGCGTCACAGCTGATTTTCGCTCTGGTACAATGGGCGTTGGCCTCCGCTGCCTGGTGGAAGTCGGATGGGCTTGGAGTGGCCACAGGCAGTGGGACAACATAGACATCACTAGTGACATCACTACTGTAGCGAACCAAGCCAAAAGTCGCGGTGGGCTTGCACAGGGCAGCATCACAGGAGTGCTCTTCAGACGTTGGCTCCTTTCTGTAGAGACATTTCTATCCTTCAACCATTTGACATCGTGCGTATGCTCAGGACCCTCTTCGCAATGTGTGCCTGCCAGCTCGCATAAATTCGAAGTGCGCCGTCACTGGAGATATGAAGAAGAAGATTTGGAAGCCAACCTCATCTTTCCGGATCTGCCAGGCAAAATGCAACAGTGAAGCTGCGGAGACCCCGTCTTGCTGCGTGCACTCAGCAAAGACCGGACAGTGCCAAATGATCTTCGGCGGCAATGCCACCCTACCTGCCGAGCCGCAGGAGCTTTGAAGACAGCATAAACACGTGTGCACGGACACTTTGAACATCTTGTCGCTGTTCGGGGGATTAGCAGGATCGAAGCCGTGCTGCGCTGTGCCGCCCTTTCCCGGTGGCACGGGTGGCTGCGGAACTCGGGAAGCTCGTCAATTTTGTATCCCGCGTCCTGTTGGATGAGTGAGGGCTGTGCTGGACGACGTTCGTGCTTGTGATCGTAGTCTTGCACAGCATGGACTTCGGAAAGAGATCGGCATCAACCAGCTTGCGTGCAACCTACAGCCCTGGACATGATGGCAAGGGCTGCTGAATGGTTACGGGGAATGGCGAGGTGGATCGAGACATGCAGACAAGTGGCCATGAGCTGCAAGGAAGCGTTCTGAGTTCGGGGCGCCCTGCCTTCAACTGCAACTTGCAATCCAATTGACTCTCGCTGACCAGCTGCTGCGACTTGCTGCAGGGCTGCAAGCCGACTGCATGACTCGCCTGGCCACCTGCTGTCACATGCTGATAAATGCTTTGCATTCTTGCTGCTTGTGGTGCAACCCGCTGATCGTTTACCAGGACACCGCTTGCAGCATCTTGCAACCAATGCATGGCGATAGCACTGTCGGCCCCAGACAAGCTTATTCACACTGCAGATAGTATTGACGCCTGTACTGCATGTCCAGTGAACCCGACTTACTATCTCCCTTTCCGTGCTTCCCTTGTGCCGCAAGCTGCGAGAACCGGCGCAGCCGCTTGCAGCAGCTAGTGCCATGGGAATCTTGGCATCACCTGCTTCGGTCTTCGCCGCTTAAGCTTCACAAAACGCATATGCTGCAGTCGAGTCAGGAAGTGGAAGACTTCCGGTAGCGATGTCAGGGTCTTGTTAAGGGATAAGGCGTTTCTGCGGTTTAGGAATGTTTGCGCTTCCAGTTCCGGCTCCTTGCAGACCTCAGGAAACACAGCACAGTGCCGGTGCCACGAACAAGACGAGGAGCACGATGTTGATGGTGACATCCTGGGGGAGGCCACTGCGCCTCCGCTGCACTATGAAGACAACATAAAGAAACAGCGCCTAAATCTTGGGCAACGAGTGCAACGGCTGCCTCTGCTCCTCCTTCCGCTCCTCGTCCACATGTTGCTACGACCACGCCGGTGACAGCCGATACGAAAGAGTGGGTGCAGGCAACCTCTCTCTCCCTCTCTCTCTCTCTCTCTCCTCTCTCGTTCTCGCATGTTCTCGCTCTCTGTGCCTTTAGATATGCAACTTGATACGTACACATCCTGAACAGTTCCTCCTGATTATTTAGGCTTTCGTTCTTCATGCGAAGCACATCTGATGTAAGTACGTTTTACTTGCCTTTGCATGTGCACACATACGCACAGACATAGACAGACAGATAGACAGACAGAGAGAGAGACAGACAGACAGGCAGGCAGGCAGACAGACAGACAGACAGACAGACAGACAGACACAGACAGACAGACACAGACAGACAGACACAGACAGACAGAGACAGACAGACAGAGACAGTAGCCATTTTGGCTCAAG